AAGTATGTCGTCCTTTGTATACTCAGTGATAGAGGATTGAGTATACCACTGAATTTAGTAATAACCACTAAGAAGCTAAGCATAGAGTTGTACTCCATATATGTGTCTCTGGTTCAAATAGCAAGTGTATCATGTTCCAAAAGAGACTTAAAATATGTATCTGGGTTGCAAATCTGTCACAGTTCTGCCAGTATACTTTTTGCTAGCTGTAACAGTAAAGTTTGTGTTTTCTGTCAGCCTTTTATCTCTGCAAGTGGGACCTAAAGCCATAATGATTGCCAGGGCAATAAATATTTAATCCCCTTTCAGGTATTTTAATTTACTCCCTATCCCATCAGTTGTTACTGTATGTAGACTATTGTGAATAATCAACTCTGACCCAGTTATTCAGGTTTATTTTTAAAATAAATCTAATTTCTTTAGTCTCAGGGTACAATATGTTTTTGAGTCTAACTATTAAAGGGTGCACATGTTTCTTTAAGAAATAGCATATATAAATTAAAATAAATTCTGTAGATTTGTTCTTAAGTTGAATTTGTTAGTAAGTTGGAACAGGTACCTTTTAAAAGTGTAACTCCAGCTATCTATCTATCTATCTATCTATCTATCTATCTATCTATCTATCTATCTATCTATCTATAAATGCTCTGCGCGTAATGAGTACCTTAAAAACAAAAGAACCAATGAACGAATTCACACCAAATTTGGCAACAAAATGTCTCGCAACATAAGGAGTGACCATCACTCAAAAATTTATGATTTTGTCATTTGGGAGTTGTAGTTGCTGGGATTTATAGTTCACCTATAATCAAAGAGCATTCTGAACTCCACCAACGATGGAATTGAACCAAACTTGGGCACAAAAAACTCCCATGACCAACAGAAAATGCTAGAAGGGCATTGATCTTGAGTTTTGGAGTTGTAGTTCACCTACATCTAGAGAGCATTGTGGACTCAAACAATGATGGATCTGGACCAAACTTGGCACGAATACTCAATATGCCCAAATATGAGCACAGATGGAGTTTGGGGGAAATAGACCTTGACATTTGCGAGTTGTAGTTACTGGGATTTATAGTTTACCTACAATCAGAGCATTCTGAACCCCACCAACGACAGAATTGGGGCAAACTTCCCACACAGAACTCCCATGACCATCAGAAAATACTTAAGGCCATCCAGTCCAACCCTTCATCAGGGCAAGAAAACATAACCAAAGCCCTCCTGACAAAGAGCCATCCAGCCATAGATGTAGATAGATAGATATGATTCACACACACACAGAGATATAGTATCAGATTTGTAAGGGACCCCTAAAGAAGGACAATTATGTCTTATGTGTTCCAAAGTAGGCAAACCAGACAATCTCCACATCAACACTGACAAAGAAACAGCAAGAAATGCTGTTTACCCACAAGCATAAAGAAATTACATATATTAGAAACCAAAACTTTCTCATTACCTTGTATTCCAGATCACCAGACTGGGCCACAGCAACGCGTGGCAGGGGGGCAGCTAGTATATATATATATATATATATATATATATATAGAGAGAGAGAGAGAGAGAGAGAGAGAGAGAGAGAGAGAGCGCAAGCATGCATTCTTTGGATAGCATAGGGAAGCATTAACACCGCTATAGTGTTTGATTTGCTGTCTGTGCCCCTGTTCAGAAGATTTCATCTCACTTATATAATTGGATTTTGAAAAACGTGACTTGTTATGGAAACAAGGATTGGTGAGAAAGCATTAGTGGAGACACTCCCCCCCCCCCCCCCCCCCCCCCCATGATAACTCTTTCAGGAGTGGATTTCCCTTCCTAGTGAGATTTATCTCACTTACTGTTGTCTCACTCCGTTCTTAACTATGAGTAGTTTGTAAGTTGGATGTTTGTAACTCGGGGGCTTCTGTATACTGTAGCAATTTTTGGACTTTAGCCTTGGTAACTGCTACAGACATGTCTAAGTTTAAACAGCTGTTAATCTCGTAGCGGGTATCCACAACTTGCATCAAGTTACCAAATTGACTTTTCCTTGCAATTGATATTCACACTTAGCATTTGTAACACTTAATTTTGGTAAAGTTCAAATAAATTTTAAAGCAAATAGGTCAAAAAGAAGAAACAGTTGAACATCACTTATATTTGTCTCACTTTAAGAGATTATTCATCACTATCGCCAGAGAAGCATGTGATCAACTCTTAAACTGGTGTCCACCCTGCAAAGAAATAATCCATCATACTGCTTTTTCCAAATCTTCTCCCATACACTCAGTTCCCCGGAAAGACATTTACTTTAGTAGTCAGATTTTATTACAATGTAAATGTCTTTGATGAGTTGTTTTGTTTTAATTTACTTACTTTTGGTTAGTTATTAAAATTTATATTGATGTCGTTTCATTCATTGGTTTGATTTGTTTTCATTATAGCATTGAATGTTTTCCACCTTGAGGAGATAGGGTGGGTTATAAATAAAGTTTATTATAATATTATTATTATTCAACTGGCCAGAACTCAACTGGCAGCTGCCACCCTGAGGACCTGTTTGTTGGCCACCCCTAGACTGGAATGATCTTCCAAAAGAGATTAAACAACTAAACAGATTATCTCTTCTGGCAGACCTAACCAGCCAATTTTAACATATGAATTTTAAATTGAGTTTTGTACTTATTTTATTTTAATCCCATCTTGCCAACATGCTTTTTATCTCTGTATTTTAAAGGGATTTTTTAATTTAAAAAACTTGTAATGTCCTAATCTATTGTATTATAATTGTTGTAACCCTCATGTTGGGAACAGTGTGAAATAAAAAGTGTTATTGTTGTTGAGTCAGTTATATCATTTTTTAAAATGGGATTTAAAATTTGTATTGAGCTTTCGAGTAGTGATTCATGTGAGTTTCAGATATGCCAGTTTAATCAAATTTCATGATAAACTATTTAAGATAGATTTGGTAATTTCATGAAATCATTTGTTCTGCAGATTTTAAAGATACGTTTTAAACAGTAATATTTTGAATATATGAACATATCCTTCTAAAATCCAATTTATTTTTCATTTTATTTCCATGCAGGTTGATCAATATTTTTGACTGAATGAGTGAAACTTAGTTTGTAAGAGTTTTTTCACTTTTGCATATGCAGTGGGGAAAATTAGAAGCATCTGTTTTCACTTTTCACCACATTCCCATTATCTCTTAATACAGGGACCTGTGGGTTTTAACCATAATTAGCAATAAAAAAGAAGATCAGAAACTATAAAGAAAGAAAATGTGCCAGAAACTGCTCATTCACAGAATATTTTCCCATCATTTCTGAATGCTGCCTTTCCCATACTACTTATATCTTCAAATATGCATTTATTTTAGTAATCCCTGTAGGTAGATATTCTGTAAAGGAAAACTGTCTCATGCATGTTCATGCAACCTACAGTGCTCTTTGAATAACCCGACATAAATAGATATAAGAAAAAAATACTTAGATATAATTAGTCTGTTGAGAACTTTAGAACCCTTCTACAGTGGTTCTAATGTTTGGGAGGATCTAAATTTTTATCAATTGAAATCATAGTAGATCATTGTCACATTAACATTAACCTTTGAGTGGCAATGGCTTCTATAGACAAATATTTCTGTAGGTCATAGAACCGCCGCAAACTAGCGTCTTGGGAGAGCAAACTGTGCCAGCACAACCGATGACGTCGAAGACTCTTTCTCCGCCTATTTCTCCACGCCCGCGTGGTTTTCCCTTTGCTAGGGCAGCGATGCGAGCGTACTCTCGCTGTTGACAGAATTCAACAGCGAGAGTACGCTCGCATCGCTGCCCTAGCAAAGGGAAAACCACGCGGGCGCGGAGAAAGAGGCGGAGAAAGAGGCGGAGTCTTCGACGTCATCGGCCGTGCTGGCACAGTTTGCTCTCCCAAGACGCTAGTTTGCGGCGGCTCATAGGTTGTTAGTGATAGCAATACTTTATGAAAATGATGAAAACTTCACCATTCAGTAGAGTTTAATTCCTTTCTGGTTAGTTTTCTTGAATTTTTAAAAATGTTATGTTGTTACAAATTTTAAGAAAGTTATTGGCTTTCCCCTTATAAAGCAGCTAATTTACTCAGCTTTAACTGAAGTTTCCACACAGTATTCTAAAAACCACTTTGCTTGGCATACGACATACAGGTGTATCTCTTATCAGACTCTTTAAATAAAGACATGATATGTGTAAAATTTATGTAGAAGTTGCCATTTATGTATCAGTCATTCAGTGTTTTAAATAGTGTGGTACATTTTTATTTTGTGTTGTAAGGCACGTTTGAGTTAAAATAGTAGATGTAATATATAGTAAACTAAGTCTGTATGTTCTGGTGTGTTTCAGAAGAATATCTCTTACAGTGACAATTCATATTTATTTTCCGGTATAGATGTGGGTTTGTTCTGGTACATACATGTAGTCCTGTGTTAAGACTGTTGATTTTTGTGTGATGTTTTCAGTGGTGCTATATGTCTTAACTGTTGTAAAGTTTTATATTTATATGGGTGATGTTTATGAGTTATAATTAATATGTTTATTGGGATTTGTTTTTCTTCTATGTATTGTGATTTGTCCTTTTTGATTCCTTTGTTTTGATTTAACCTTTTTTGGATTATAAGTGTGACTGATATTATGTGTATTGTTTCCTCTTGTTGTAAGCCGCCCGAGTCTCCTTGGGGAGAGGAGGCGGGATATAAATAAAGCTTTATGATTATTATTGTTTGTTTGAGAAGCTATGACAAATTGTGTTAATGTAGAAAAATAGTTCCCACAGATAGTATTATCTGTGCACATTTCCTTCTACCTGAGTGTAGGAGGTGATGTTTATGAAGTAGTCCTTATAGTTGACATAGAATCTGCAATTTTTATTACTATGAGACTAGACACCAATACTATATATATTTACCAAACAGGTGCAAGAATTGAAGATTAAAACAATAAGCCTGAAACATTTTTCTCTTCATCTCTTTCATGCTGCAGGATGACGCAGCTTTGTAAGGATTTATAACCTAAACAAAAAATGAGCTTAACATCTTGGTTTTTGGTGAGCAGTGGAGGCACTCGCCATAGGCTGCCACGAGAGATGATTTTTGTTGGAAGAGATGACTGTGAGCTGATGTTGCAGGTAATTGTATCCGTTATTCAGAGTATATGTGTTCAAAGCTTTAACTTAGGTACATATTTCCTTGAGTTGATTACATTTGGATCTTTTTAGATGTTTTCCTTTTTATATGTAGCTATTGTTTGCACTTTAATCACAATTAATAAATTTCTTGGTGTGTGTCCTAAAAGAAAGAACATGTATATCTGTCAACCACTATTGCATAAATCCATTTATCTTTTATATCAAGTTAATTTTGTCTACTTTTGCCTTAAAATGTTCATCTTACCTATTTTGTTCTGGAACTGGGTGTTGTTCCAGGTCTCTCTAAAAATTCTTTCTATGACAGAAACTGTCATACATGAGCAGAGTCAAGCTTTAAAGATTACAAAAAACTTTATTGAAAGAACTATATTTCTAAAGGAATGTTAGGACCTAGCTATCTGTCTCTAGAGACATGTTGTCTCTGTATATGAGAAAAGAACAAAGGGAAGTCTCAGGCTTACCATGTGGTCAGAAACGTGAATAAAGGGGTGTGTACCTGAGAAGTATCAGTCTAAAGCTGGCCTACACAAACTGAGACCCTCCAGTTGTTTTGGCCGCCAACTCCCAGAATTCCTAGCCATTGGACAAGCTGGCTAGGGCTTCTGGGAGTTGAAGGCCAAAACAGCTGGAGGGCTGCAGGTTGTACAGACCTGGTTTAAAGTCACAAAGAAAAAGAGGAGAGACTAGAAAGACAGGCAGACACAGAGGGTAAATGGGGAAAGGCTTTCCCTACAATCTAACTTCAATTCTGCCTTTAATGATGACTATAAACTTGTGCAGAATGCGTTTGACTTCCAACAAATACAGTTTTCAAAATCTGAAAAATTTCTCATCCCAAGCATCTCAGATAAGGAAGACTCAACCTGTATTAGGGTCCTGAGAACAAGCCCTATGAGGAGCGGCTTAAGGAGCTGGGCAAGTTTAGCCTGAAGAAGAGAAGGCTGAGAGGAGATATGATAACCATGTATAAATATGTGAGAGGAAGCCACAGGGAGGAGGGAGCGAGCTTGTTTTCTGCTTCCTTGGAGACTAGGACGCGAAACAATGGCTTCAGACTACAAGAAAGGAGATTCCATCTGAACATGAGGAAGAACACACTCTGCCCCGTAATGTGGTGGAGGCTCCTTCTTTGGAAGCGTTTAAACAGAGGCTGGATGGCCATCTGTCAGGGGTGCTTTGAATGCAATATTCCTGCTTCTTGGCAGGGAGTTGGACTGGATGGCCCATGAGGTCTCTTCCAACTCTTTGATTCTATGATTCTATGATTACATGTTTGCTGCTGTAAATATATTAAGTAAAGTCAATGTAATACTTTCTTCATATTGCAGTCACGGAGTGTGGACAAACAACATGCTGTAGTCAACTATGATGCTTCTACTGATGAACACTTAGTGAAAGATTTAGGCAGTCTAAATGGGGTAAGTGAATTTATTCTGATTTCAGTAAGTGCAGTTCAGTTTGTATAACAGGATCCTGAACAAAAAAAATTAAATACCTTTACATGTTTGATAGAAGAAAAGTTAAGAAACAAATTTTGAAAATATGTTTTCTTGAAATCTGGCAATCTGAAAATGGCATTGAAGTTTTTAATACATTATGGCTATTGAGAGCAATTCGTTTCCCATTCTTTGGTAAAATATAAGTTTTTAGTAGTCACAGAGGAGTATTTTACCAGAAAAAAGAAGAAAAATTCAATTCCCACCAGCCCTAGATCTGGCTGAGCTGCAATCCATGGCTTTCTTCCTAACTGGTCAGAGGGCTTAGCCTTCTTGTTGGGTTGCAATGATGTTGGGGATGTAGCCTGGCCATCTCACCAGTTAGGAGGAGAGCTGCACTTTCAGTCCCAAGTGGAAATCACACAACTCTCTGGGTGTGGCTGGTCTCCAATTTCCATCATCCTTTATCTCCCCCCCCCCCCCCCCAAACCACAACCAGTACTTTAAGTTGGATCATAAAGATTATGTGTACCAAGTTGAGTCCAGATTCATCCTGGGTGAGATTCACGCAGTTCGCTAAATGTGGCTGGACTCCTTTAACTCTCTTCCTTGTCTATTAGCACCTCCCTAGTGTGGTGTATTTTGTGGAAGCTATTCAGTAAGGCAAGGTAGACAGCAGCTCCCCTCAGAAAATCTGTTACCGAGCATGCATAAAATACAGAACGGGAAGAACAGTTAAGCCTGCATTACCAGCTTCCGCTAGTATGTTTTTAAAAACAGCATAGTATATATGTTTGGCCAGTATAATGGAACAAGAAAGGGAGATTCTGTTGAACAGGGAGAGAAATCATCCTGAAAAGCTTTCAAGTCATCTCTAGAAGGCTACAAATGTCTGACACGATAAATAAATACATCTCTAGAAGGTTGAATTTTTGTTGTTTATTTAGTCAAGGCATACTTAACCTAGTTGTTAGTTTTGGTTAAAAAGTTTGTTGAAACTTAATGAATTTCTTTTCACTTTCGAGGTGTAAGAACCTATCTCTATTCTTTATCTATATATATCTGCCTCTGATCCCAAAATTTCTGTTAAAGAAATAATTCTCGGAATTACAGTTACTTTAGTAGCTGAAGTATATCTGTACCAATGAAAGAGTTATTATTAGTTCAGCAAGTTATTACTTATTTCATTAGCAGAAATACACATTGGATTCAGGCCACACTGGCAAAAATTAAAGTCAGAATTAGACATCTGTACATCACTCTGGATTTTATTGGGCATGTTTCCTGAAAACATTATTTTCAGCAGGTCTACAATGATATGTGATGCAATGACTACAAAAAAAAAACAACAACCAAAAACCTAGATTCATATTCAGAGTCACCTTTATTACAACTAATGTTTATTTTTGTTTTTTCATTCTTAGACATTTGTGAATGATGTACGGATTCCAGAACAGACATACATCACACTAAAGCTTGAGGATAAACTGAGATTTGGATATGATATCCTTATAAAATAATGAATTACTGTTTCTTTAAGTAGCTCTGATCATACATTTAAGTACTGACTTACCAGTTTATTTCATTTTTAAAGATGATATTCCACAGTAAGTAAAACATTCAAATCCTGATTGCTTATACCAAAATTAAGGCAGTGTCTGAGATGCCAACATGTTCTCATCTTTTGCTGCTGTGGACCATATATTAATGGATTTACCTTGGCAAACAAATGTTTTACAAATGCTGAATGAGATAGAGGGTGCTTATTATGAATTTTAGAGTATCAATGCTGAATAACATACGTGTTCCCTTCATAATTCATAATTGAAACCAAGTTGTATCTTCACAAAAAATTGAACCACTTCTGTTGCCAGGCCCGTAGCCAGGATTTTGTTTCGGGCGGGGGGGGGGTCTGCATTTGATTGGGGGGGGGGTGAGTTTGATTCAAACCTTTTGTATCGTTATCCCAATAGCCCCATGCATATGGGATCTATTGAGCATGGTGATCAGGTCATGATATGAATAAACATAACAGTTTAAATAATGTACCAGTAAGGCCTTCTCGCAGATCACCCTGAGAATTTCGGGGGGGGGGGGAGAGGGGCTGAAGCCCCTCAAGCCCCCCCCCCCCCGGGCTATATGCCTGATTGTTGCTATAAGCTTCCCATTCTTAATGATGACCAGCAACTGATGCTTAAGTTCCCTCTTAAGATCAGTTTATACAGGTGGGGTTATTGTGATGAGAAAAAGAAATGCAATGATCAACCCTTGATTTGTAATGCCATCTCCGTATGTCTTCCTCACATGTCTTTATCCCCAGGCAAGTTATGATGTGAACCATGTACCAGTCGGGTGATTTGCAGACTGGCTAGACTTAAGCATGGTTGTAGGAGGAGGAGTGTAGACACAGGAAAGTTGTATCCAAATATTCTTATTTAAATCGTTTTAGCTCCCCTGCTGTTCAGTGGATTAGTGCTTGAAAAAACTTCAGTTATCTGCAGGCATGGATGTTTAGTGGGACATAATCATATGGCAAGGGGATGGAATAGAGAATATGAATACTCTTAACTGCAGTGTAGTGTCTTTGTGTCAAAGAGAAAGTGAATGAGGAGAGAAGACTTGCATGTGATTGAAAGTGGGGGATATAGTGGCTATGGACCTAATCACAGCCATTGTTGCCTTTGATCATAGCAGTATGATCAGTATGCTGCCCTCAGGAACAACAAAGTGGGCCATGCCATTTATAAAATATTGAAAGTGAAAGCAATTATGTTTCTCACTCAAATCTTCTCCATATTTATCCACCATTATCTGGGCTGTACGGGTAAAATCTATCAGATTAGATGGCTATGAATATTTATTATCCTAAGGAACCAAGCATTGACCAAACCTAGTGTGCTCAGGAACAGGCAAACAAAAGAATCCACTGTGAAGTTTTTTTTTTCAGTTTTGCAAGACTGCTTGCTTTCTCAACCAGTAGCAAGCACAAATAGTTATGACAAAGCATGTAAGTTGCCCATGCCTGCAGACTCATATACTTAACATAACATAAAAAACTAGTTGTTTGGTTAGCAGTAACAAATCAGATTTTTCTCACTTTGAAATAAGTAGTGCATAATAAGCAAATATTAGCAAAGCCAAGTTAAACTGATGATATATTGGGCACCAAGGTATACACTGAAAAAATACAGTTCTTTCAGATATTGTTGCTGCTATTAAATGTGTTGGAGGTATATGCTATTGTCTTTATGTTGTTATAAATATTCCAGTATTTTAATCTCCTCTTGAAATTTTTAATGTTTTTGAATATAACACTTAAGACAGATGTGTGAAATAACAAAACATTTAGAGCAGTGGAAAATGTTATTTTTGTAAAATCTGCATCATTGATTGTGGTTTGTAATGTAGTTGGACAAATGTGGTATTTTCCTTATCATATCATACATACCAATCTTTTTACTGTAGTTAGAGGAGAGATGAGAGTCCCAGAGGAAGCACTTAAGGTAAAAATATATACTCAGGTATATTTCTTTTGTTTTTATTCATGGATAATGGTGATGATAAAATTGTTTTTCACTATCATTTAGATAATTAATATAAATGTTACTGCTTTATTGACAGTCATATTTGTAGAAATAGGTTCTTTTTTCTTGAACCTCCTTGTCATGTCAGTAGCATGCACAACTGAAATAGAGATGCCAGTACATACACAACAGGGTTGAAATCTTAATATTGTGTCGCTTCATTATATGATAAACAACATGTTCCTGAATTTCACTGAAATGTTTAGTCTGATTGGATTTTTATTTGCTCTCTAGCATGAGAAATTTACCAGTCAATTGCAGCTGTCCCAAAAATCCTCAGAGGCAGAAGGATCAAAGTTAACCAGTGCCAAAGCTGCAGAGCCAAAGGTACAAGATACCATCTCTGAAGCACACTACAGAACTATAGATGCACTGAAATCAGAAGAGAAATCTGCAGGTAAGAGAAAAGGATATAGTTGTTGGAGCCTTGAATTCTACTGAATATTTCAAAGAATGCATGGTTAATGTAAAAACCGTATTCAAGATACAATGTTGAATGGTATTTTCAAGCTATTATACATAGTTTTTTGGCAATATGTAAAATGCACTTCAGCATCATAGTTTGCTTTGCTACATTCAGGTATTTGAGGAGTAGGAATATACAGTAGAATTAGTTCAATATTGTTTTGATCCTATACACCACCATCTGGTTTGTCATATTATGTGTTGAAATGAACTAGAAAATACGAGCATATAATGTCTCCTTGCACTAGTTGTATTGGTTTCCAATTTACTTGTTGACGTATTTCATACCTAAAGGTTTGCTTTCACTTATATGAGCCTGTTGAGGTTGCCGCCGCCGCCTCCTCCTCCTCCTCCTCCTCCTCCTCCTCCTCCTCCTCCTGTTTATTTATATCCCACTTTTTTCTCCACAAAGCATCTTACATTAAAAGCATTTTAATACAATTTAAAATTCAAAAATATACAAACATGAAAATAGAATTAACCATCAATGATATTCATTAAAAATTAACAGTTGAAATCCTTAAAACTAACTAAAAACAGTTTGATTAAAAATTGTTGAAATCATTGAGTAAAATAAACATTTAAATAAATATGTGGAGACATAATAATAAAACCAAAAGAATAAAAGTCATTATAAAGGAAGAGGGAAGCCAATTTTTCATGATGACCTAGTAAGGTGATATATTGTATTACTGGCAAATTTTATATTTAGAATGTAGGCAGCTTAGATTACTTAAAGAATATTAAGGCAACAGAAGTAAAAATGTATGGAGTATTTACCATGAATTGTAATTTTTAAGATAATCATTTCTTTTTTTATATTGTTATGGTGGTTGCTCTGAACAAGCAACTTGTTTTGTTTCTTTGTATAGATATTTCTGCCATGCCTCGAGGTACTCCTTTGTATGGGCAACCATCATGGTGGGGTGATGATGAGGCGGAGGAACAGAATGGTTACAAACAAGATGGTAAACCTGAAGAGAAAATGCAAGATGCTGGAGTATTAGGTAAGATTATTTAAGATACAGAAGCCCCGTAGCTTTTCCACATGCCCCTTTTAAAGGTGAGAGGATCTTATATTATCATTACACATTTTGGTTCAAAGAAAAACATATTAATAAGACAGTGTCTGTAGGATGTTTTAAAGAAATCTGAACAAAACCAAAACTTTGCCTCTTCTTTTGAGAGGAGGAGAAAGAAGTGAGCAGGATATGGTGATGGACTTTGTGTGTAGAGTCATAGAAGAATAGAGTTGGAAGAGACCACATGGGCCATCTAGTCAAACCCCCCACCATGCAGGAAAAGCACAATCATTACATATGATAGGGTCCATATGGCGTGTACATCAGTGTACGTACTCACTTTATACCTGTGTTGGGATTTTCTGTGGTATTTGGACCAGTAAATGGCAGGGTTTGTATGTCGGGCTGTGATCCACCTATATTTTCCCCACCCATTGATGCATCTGCTTATCTAGATTATGCTCTCTGTACCTATCTGTCTACTTAGAAATAAAATTAAATATATATATAAGATTGTAATTTGAAAATGGGCATATTGAGTTCTCTTGAACTGGAGCCACAGATTAAACTTTTTGAAATGAACCAGATTTTTATCTCTTCCCAGAGAGTTTACTGATAGCTTCTGTGTCATAAAATAAATAATATTCAAATGTTGTTGTTTTTTTTATCAAAAAAACATAAGCCACCCTAATTTGTTGTTTGGTTTGTTCTATAATGAACTGGAACTGGAAACTAGTGTATGTATTTTGGTAACTTACTTAAACAGTCTTTTTATTTATTTGAGTACTATAGTCAAATGGTAAAAAGTTCTTTAAACCATTTTGAAGAATAGATGTGCATTTGTATTATATATAACACAATTTGATTGATGGACCAACAAATAAAATATATTGAATAGGTCATAAACCGCAGTTAACAAAATAAATATTTTCTGGGCCTATAACTGAAAGCATGGTAGCAGGAGGAGATATACTAGAAGAATAGCATTGGCTTCTATACCACAAAAAATAACACTTCAACATGCCTCAGGAAACTTTTTATTCATAACTAACAATATTCACTTGTGAAATGAAGGATCCAGTTCAGGTAACCCTTTCATAAGTAAAAACATACATGCTGAACTTTTCAGAGACAACTTGCAATGTATATGAAGCCCAAACTATATGTTGCAGAGAAGCATGAATATGTTCCCTTTCTCACATACTAAAACAGACTGGAAAAATGTGCCACTGAGCAACATGCAGCTCCCAAACTCCGGGACCAACATTTGTTCCACTTCCTGGTAAATAAAGCCACCCTGAACTAAAAACAACACAAATACAGCAAATGTGCCTCTTACAATTGCTAGTGGAAATGAAAGTGTTTTGAACAGATTTTTTTTAAATGTGCAGTGAGAAAGGAGGCATGGCTCCCAATATGTCCTGGAGGGACTAATGCCATCCGTAACTCCTGTCAGTTTTCCAACTATCCCTCTTCTGAAAAATTGTCTAGCTATAGTATGTCGAGGAACATGTCTCATATACCCCACTATCGTTGTTGTTGTTGTTGTTGTTATTGTTGTGTGGCTTCAAGTAATTTCCAAATGGCAATCCCAGTGTGATCTTATCACATGTTTCTGCGGCATCCAGTGGGTTTCCACGGCTGAGTGGGGAATTAAATCCTAGTCTCCAAAGTCATAGTACAACACTCATATAACTACAACCGTACTAATTTTCTGATGTGACCTAATGTGGTATTAATATGTAATATTTTTGAGGGGTCGAGGCACCCTTATTTATATACAAAGTTTTCTAACTGGTGCTAGCAATGGCTTATTTATTTATTGTTAAATTTCCTCTTTTTATCCAAATTTATAAGCATACAGGTATTTAGTTTGCTATAGCTTTTATGTTTTTTGAGGTATTATCATTCAATTGTTTAATATGTTTTAGAATATTTAAATTATTTGTATTGTTTTACATGTTAATGTGACTTGAATTGATTTGATTCTAAGCAGCTTAGGCACTTGATGATCTGAGACCAGATGAATATAATTTTTTAAAAATAAATAGATACATTTTAAATTCTGCAAAGTAAGTGTTTCTGTAGTAACTTGGCTTCACTCAATTTTAATGTGCAGATGAATACTCTTTAGTTTAAATGTACATGTGTGAATGGCTCCTGACTAAAATGTACCATTTATGTGCTATGACAACATCCGGATTTAGAGTTGGTTTGAGAGTTTAGAAATTAATGAATGATTGCTAGACATGTAATTGGAACTGTTTTTTTTATTTTTTCATAAATTATTTGAAATTAGGATTGAGCAGTGAGGCAGCTAAATCTGCAGATGACCCCAAATTACTCATGGCAGTGAGAACAGAAAGGGAGTGCAAGAAATTTGAAGAAAATATCCAAATTGGCAATGAGCATTGGAATATCAAATGCCAATCACTGTAAATAAACATGAAATTCATCGTGCATATTGAGGCAAAATACAATCCTAAATGCATATGCATTGACAAATTTAAGATGGTGTTGATTGACCAAGGATCTTTGTGGCTGAATTAAAAGTTGATTCCCTGCTGTGGGGTTAGGAAAGTGAACTGTAATAAAGCTGTCACTATATAATATATCTGTGACACATGAGAATACTATGTATAGATCTGATTATTGTATCTTTAAAAGAATAATGTGTACTAGAAAATATTCAGGACAAAGTAACAAACATGTTCAGAAGGCTGAAGCTACTTAATTATCAATAAAGTTACAACAAATTGGGGGTCTTCAGTTTAGAGAAGAGGGTAATTGAAAATTAATGTTGTGTTGGAATTTGTAAATATTTTAAATATGCTAAATTATTTAATTTTCTTGGAAGTCTACGATCCAAATATTTTTTTCATACTTTCTAATTGATATATGTCTGATTTGCTTATATTAGTTTTTAAAGGAATTTAAAATAAGTGTGTATACTCAACTTCTAAATAAACAAAATCAATAACATATATATATATATAATTTATTCGCTATCTTATACTTTGGAACAATGGTTATTTATTGAACAGAAGTGAAAGTATACACTAAGGCAGACGGAGTATGATTTAATGAGGAGATTGACATGGGTGATTAGTTACCGCTAAGCCAACTAGATACAATTAGCCTTTATGGCCTTGAGTTAATAAGATTATTCTGTATTACTGCTTCCCAGTCTTAGTTGAAACCTCTCATGGAAGATTGTTAATTATGAGCAAATTCAGTAGACTGAAGTGCCACAGACTTTACATTTGTATACTGTTTTTTATCAGTTTTCTGGCTTGTAGAACCAGAATATAAAGAAAAAGATGAAAGTTGGCTGCTGCTGTTTTCAGTTTAATTATTTTCTCACATTCATTAGATAAGGATCTTATTTTTAATACTGTGCACTACAATTTTGTACTCCCACCTAAAGATATTTCCAAAAAGTAGTGCATGAAATATTTCTAGCTTTTGAATTGGTATAAGTTTTCATTTATCTTTGGCAATTAAAAAGGGAGCTTCATAAACATCAAGATTCCTAATATGCTTGGTCTGATCTCCAGCAGTGTTGAAGTCTATTGTGGCTCCCCAGATCTGGTGTTTATAATTGAATATACTGACAAAGCTTTTATACACTGGGAAAATAACATTGAAAAGGATGCATGGTCCTGAATATGATAGAAGTGTATGTGTTATTTGCTGCTTTTATTATATCTGTAATTCAGTCACTTCGTAGGAAATGGATCTCTTAGCATACAACCTGTTTCACCATTTTTTAATCGATACTTGTTTTAATGAGCTAAATATTGGGATATGTATAGCTACAATCCAGAATTTTGGGGAAAGACGTTTGGGGGGGGGGGCTTTAAACCAACATTCTATCTTGTGGATAAGTTGAAGGTAAGTTTTGGGTCCAAAATTATAGAACTTATCTGTGGATAAGTTGAAAATACTTGGGGAGATGTAACAAATATTTTCCTCTCCTATTGAAAGTGCATAAAGAGAACATACTTTGAAAAACCTAAAGAGAAGGAGAGGATCTGTTTGAGGAGTTACAATGTATGTGTATATAAATTGTACTGCTGATCTTAAAATGCCTACATCTTTGCAAAAGCTATACATCTATACATTGCTGATTTTTAAAATGCCTACATCTATGAAAAAGCAGCAAATATAAGGAAAAGAGTAATACATGAGGAAAAATAATGTGGCATAAAAAGATGGAGAGAGGCAATTCAATTAGAGGCAGCAATTCACAAGCAATGATATGAATTGCTGCCCTCTTGGTGTGGTGTGAAGCAGTGCTCCTACCTCATTACACTTCCTTTGTCAAGGCAATGGAGAACTTGTCAGTATCTGACTATGGAGAGGCAACTTGCCTGGGACTTTGGACAAAGAGGTGGAGGAATGGTCAACCCTTGTTGCTCTAGCTCAGGCCTGTACAACTTGTGGCCCTCCAGTTATTTTGGCCTCTCAAATCCCAGAAGCCCCAGCCAGATTGTCCAGTGTCCAATTCTGAGTGTTGGAGGACTACAGGTTGTGCAGACCTGCTCTAGCTGCTACTGCCTTTCAAGCACCCAGAATGGTGGAGGGCACAAAGCTCATCAAACCACACCACTACCTTCTGTTTTCAATATTGACCTGTGGATTAGTCATTTCAGATATTAGACTAAATCTTTGGAACAAAGTATCATGACCTATAGTTGAGTTTATTCTTTATATGAAAAGTGGGACAAGCCAATTATTGCCATTGTGGTGGCTTTGTCTGCATAGAAAGTGCTTCTGTTTGCACAAATTGGGACACCAATTGTTCTGATTTCTCACTTCCCATAAGCTTAGGCCTCTATATTGGTCCTTTTGACCCCCTTGATGGTCCTTTTGAGGAAACAGGAATCTCCTGTTTTCAGGGGGAGGGGGTAGAATCATTATGTTTTAAAGAGAAGTGAGTGATATGTAAATAAAAGATGCCTCAAGTAAAACAGTGCTTTCTGCTAAGGCAAAGCTATCCCTGTCTACACACCATGACAATTACTAAAAGGAAAAGTTAGCTTTATTCACAAATACAGTGTCTGACTGGGCCTTGGATCTGAAGCAAAACCAATTTTCCAAGCTTATCTGGCAAAAAAGTGTGATCTCTGGTTGTGTCAAAAGAACATCCTTGTTGGGTAATTACCAAGATTTTTTGATAGTTTTGAAAGTCATAGAATGTATCTAAACCTCTGATTTTCATTAAAAATTCCCAGTTTTCCATGCCTCGTCAGCTGAAATGGCCATGCACTTGCATATTTACTAGTTATTATAGCCTTTGGAAAAAAAATTGGTTTTGTCTTGATGTTTCAAAACTGTTATTTTTTAGAGATTCAGTGAAAGACTGTTTCTGGTTCCGAACTGGGGTCTTTTTTTTAAGGGATAGACTTCAAGGTGTTTGGCTGTAACATTTTTAGGGGTAGATTTATGAAAAAAAAGATGGAAATCAAATCAGCATATTCATGTGGCCTTGGGCGTGAAAAGATTAGCTTATATTTGTCACTTTAAATGTTCAAAATATAGCATTGCTGTGTTGTCTTGAATGACATTGCAGAGTTTTGTCATCACACAATCCAAGCAGAAGAAAAAAAAATGTCAGTAGGTTCAGTTCAAAAAACAAAAACAAACACTTTTAGAAAATTATAAGGGCAGAAACAAAAGTAGCCCAATAAAAACTGAACATGTCTGTTAAGCATAGAATGGTGACTAAGGAAGAAATTGAATATCTTGGAAGAGGGTATGAGTGGTTGGCAAAGACCTTGAAAGGGAGGACACCATGGTATATTTTGTTGTCAAGTTCTGATTTAACTATCTACCAAACTCAGTTCCTAATAGCCTTCAGTGGATATGAACCAAACTGACATAATTCATTGTGATTATACCTTAAAACCTGCATTCTTCATTGTTCATGGCTGTTTGGATCACTCTGGATCAGGCCTCTGTTCATGAAGTTAAGCCAGTCATTAATCAGGTAAAAGGATTAAATAGGCCTGAGTTACATATAACTGAAACCATTATTTGCATACTGTGGGTACTGGGCTATAGTGGAATGTTTTCCATTAATGACATAAAATGACACATTTTGTAATTATACCAAACAATACACATATTAGTGAATATTGGTTGTTTGCAAGCTCTTGAAATTTACCTATTTCTAACCTGAGCCCTCTTTTTAGGTTTCTTTTCCCCTTTCACTATGGCTATTCTCATGTCTACATTATGGCATTTAATAGTTGTTAAATTTTTTAAACTACACATGTCAAAGTACAAGTGGCATTATAGAGCTTACATACATGAAAGCTTACTTAAAACAAACATTTCCCATAGTATTTAGAGCACTAAATTGATTCAATTCAATGATGGAAATTTTATTATAATAATTCAGAAAGAGTTGGAAGTGAGTTATCTATCAAGGGAAGAATTTTCCTCTACCATAGTGTGTGCTGTCACACCCATCTGCTTTAAATGTCTTTAGCGTTAATATGCCCTGACTTTCTATCAGCTTGGGGGATGCTGGATTGCCTTCCAATCTCCACAGAATCAATGTCCATGTAATTGCTTTCAAGAAATGATAACTATTATCAATTGCTCTTGGGCCTATCTCCATCCAGGCACTATCTTGATTTCCCCACAGCAAAGTCCATACTTAAATTTCGAAGGTAACTGGTTGTTGTTGAAGTTGCTGGTTGTGGATGATTCCAGAGATGAAGGACAGACGAAAGTCTCCCTTGCTCACTTTCTCTGGCAGAGGGGCCTCTGGGGTGCCCAGTGCCCAAGGTGATAAGGTCAGAGGTAGAGAGAGGAAGTCCCTCCTATTGAGGCCTGACACATCACTGAGGGTACTGGAAACTCCACAGACTGTCACTGACCAGAGGGAGGCCAGTGTAGTCAGATAAGTTCACAGATTAGTTAGTTAGTTAGTGGCTTGAAATGGCTTGTGCAAGCCTGGTTCTTGTTGGGACCAGACATGTCTTGCTCCTAAGGTTCTCTGGTGGTCATAACACTAAACTAAAGATGGCTCTCTTTCCTTGGGCAAAAGGATGGGCAAACGTATTGATCAAAACCAGGAAGGGTTTTCTTAATCTCCACCCTCATAAAACTAACAGAAAAGTGACTATTCTCAAACTGTGTTTGAGGCAGCCTAAAAAAAGGGACCAGGGACTTACACAGTTTCATCATACACTGATATTGATAAATTGATGCCATCCTTTTCTAGTTACTGAACTCTGCATAGAAACAAATAGTTGAATTCATAAATATAATGAAACTCCAGTTCTAGGTGTTCTCACTCCTGCTAACCAGAATCATTTTCTTTCAAATAAACCTCTCTTGATCCAGAATTCATCCTGTCAAACTGCTTCTTCGAAAACACTGCATATCAAAGTAGATTAGTACCATCTTTGTTCTTCCATGGATTTAACTGCAAACCAGCCTTGGCTTCTTTTCCCAGCTTTGCTCTTAACATCTAGCTTTGTTCTTAACACCTGCTTTTCTTAACCCGTTGCCTTCTCCTGGGTGTCTGCCCTGATCATTTCTTGCTTCCTCTAGTATGCTGTCTCCCATTCAGACCAAAACCTTGTTTTTATTTCCAGAAAACTGTTCTACTTTCCCGAATTTGAATCCATGCTTGCTTACATTTCATTATTCCTCTAGAGATACAGTTCATTTCATATATATCCTGCTTTGTATTGCATGTTTGTTGAGCAACTTTCCCAACTTGTCCTCCCTCACCTCCACAACAATCTAGCATATAGTTCTTTGGCAAATAAATAATTTTGGAAGTTGTTAGACTTTGCTTGCTGCTATTCTTGTTAGAAATGGTAAGGACACATAACAGTCATGGCTGTAATAAACAACATTTATGTCAGGGAAAATGCACTAATTGAAAACCACATGTATTTTAAATAACAAATTGAACCAAAATGCAGAAGTGCAGCTCCATTTGTGCACCTTGAAAAGTATTTCTTGAAAGTCAAGTGCAACTTAAGGAGCTGCAGCTAGAGAGTAATATTAGTGGAAGGGTAGCATGAAGATATATGTATGTATGTGTGTGTGTGTGTGTGTGTGTGTGTGTATATATATATATATATATAAATGTATATATATATATAGAGAGAGAGAGAGAGGCCAATTTATAGATATATTTAGTTTAATTCTATCGTTGCTTACATTCTGATAAAAATGCAAGCAACAGTTATATTGTGAAAAATGCACTAAAATGTTTTAGCAATGTAATCACAAAAAGAAACAATGATATCAAAGTTGCTTCTAAGATACCTATTTTAAATAATTAAAGGTGATATAAAATGTGTATTTGTGAACAATTTTGTAGTTTTCTCAGTCTTAAGATGAGATTCAGGATACAAACCTGAACTGGATGTGTTCTAATATTTCAGATTTAGGATACTATATTTTATCAGTATGATAAAAACAGCTTAAACCTTAACTGCTTCAGCAGGAAGATCACAGGATTTTCCCCTTATATTTTGCTAATATTCCTTAATTAAATACATTTCTCTTATAGAAACTTTCTTGCTATAAAGAAAGATGATGGTGAAACTAAATGAGATTAGTCTTGGAAACATTGTGAATGTTTGGTTGCTGTGAGTTTTCCTGGCTATATGGCCATGTTCCAGAAGCATTCTCTCCTGATGTTTCACCCACATCTATGGCAGGCCTGCCATAGATGTGGGTGAAACATTAGGAGAGAATGCTTCTGGAACATGGCCATTCAGCCCAGAAAACTCACAGCAACCCAGTGATTCCGGCCATGGAACCCTTCAACAACACATTGTGAATGCTTTGCTTAAAGCGCATCTCATTTTAAACTGTATTTTGCATGATATATGATTTCATTCATCCCATGAACACAAAATGTGCTAAATTATCTGCCATTTTGAATTTCTCAATTTTTATTACTTTTCATATGTAAAAGATACAACTCAATTCTGTAGATGGAATTTATTTTCCAGCTTTCACTTTAGCAACAGTTACTTGTGGAACATTCATATCCCTAACACTTGGCAAGCAAGCTTATTATTACAACTACATAATGTTCTGTTAGGAGCTTCACAAAGGCTTTTATTTAGCATTTATTCACATTGTGCTTCTCTTCTTCTCCTGCTTTCTTTGTTCTATCGAAAGTAAGATATTTACACATTTCAGCATTTTTACTGCTGATATAGTAAGCTTAATTTTAATTTTATCATTCTTTTCTTTACTCTCTAACTTGCTTTTTTGAAAGTGTCCTGAACCATTGCAATTTAGTTTATTAATTTGGTTTCTCCCAAGAATAGGAATATTTTAAAATATGATTTAAAAGCCAAGCTCATATTTACATTGTAGTATTTACTCTGAAGCTAGAAAATAACATTATCTGAACCTTCTCTTGGATATCTCTCCCATCCCTTCCAAACACCATTAATCATGTATCTACTTCACATTCATGACTTTATTGGAGCATAAATGTTCTTTGCCATTCTTAGTGAGCTTTCTTGCTATTAGCTTTGCTTAATTCGATTTCTTCTTCAATATGAAAATATCAGCAGTGAACAGAGATTCTGGAACTATATTCAGTCTTTCTACACAGACTTGTATTTCTTTTCCAAGAATTGTCACCAGGCTTTTGTATGAATTCTGAAATTCCTTGAAGACTCAGATTTCATAACATTGGAGAATTTCAATGTTTTTATTTTTCTCAATAGGATGCAGCACAGATGGCAAGCAAGCTGAGGAGCAATCTGCAGCTGCAAGTGAAGAAGAAACTTATCCTTTCTGTAGGGAGCCAAGTTATTTTGAAATCCCTACAAAGGAATTCCAGCAACATTCACAAATACCTGAGGGTACAATTCATGAGATCCCAACAAAAGACATACACATAGCAGGGGCAGGGCATGCTTCATTTACCATTGAATTTGACAACAGCACCCCAGGAAAAGTAACTATCAAAGATCATGTCACAAAATTCACTCCAGATCAACGCCACAAGCCTAAGAAGCCTTCTCCTTCTGGTGCTCAGGATCTTCCTGGGCTTCAAGCTGTGATGTTGGCACCGGAGAGTAAAGTGGCAAACTGGTTAGCACAAAACAATCCCCCAACAATGGTCTGGGAATCAACAGAAGAAGATTCAAAAAGTATTAAGAGTGATGTCCCAGTCTACTTGAAGAGACTGAAAGGTAAAATAAATAATTTCAACTGTATTTTTTTGCCTTGAAATATTCCGCAGTAAGTATAATAACTGGAACAGCATCCATTTTCTACATGCCTTTGCTTTTCTTACAGCCAAAATATTTCAGCCATTTAGGCAAAGCCTGTTGAGTGATAGTACATTGGGCCAAGGCAAAACAAATGAACACTTCATGCTTGTCACATTCAAAGATTGTGATATATTTGACTGGTTTATTTCCAAAACAAAACTTTCCCTTCAGTGTTACTAAGACACAATTTCACTTAATAAATCTTATTTTCAAAATTAAAATTTTATAATTCGTCACATATCTTTTTTCAGTGATGTATGAATAAAAATAGATTTTCTCACATTTTGATCTGTAGCTAAAAACTAAGTATTATCATAAGAAAAAAATGATATTTATGGTACAAGTATGTTTATTACTTGATTTTCATAGAACAATAGGCACAGTGGTCCAGCTAATGATAAAACTAGTTTTTCAAATTCAGAAGACTAGAAACTTTTATGTTTTAAAGAAATAATTCTTTTGATAGCAGTGTGTGACATAACAGGCTAGCAGAATATTGCAATGAGCTTTTTGGGAATAAAGTATTTGCAGAAGATATTGTAAGCTTCTTTCAGTGATTTCCTAATCCAGTCTTGGTGTGATTTTCATGTATTCCCTCCTAAATATTCTGTATTTACGCAAGTATAACACTCCATGTAATGTGCACCTCAATATTGAAGGTAAAATTACAAATAAAGGATTTGCAGTCAAATGTAATGTGCTCAATAGTGCAGGCTTAGTGAATCAGGGAGGCAGACAATGTGAAAGGCCAGTTGGGAAGCCACGCCCCTTCATCAAGTCAATGCTAGTAAACTTGCCAATCTTGTGCAGATCCCAACTGGCCTCAGGAGAAGGTTTTGAAGGTCTTGTTGGGAAGGCTATTGTTTTGAAGGCTATTTGGGTACTGTACAGGAAAGAACCATGGGGAAATGGGCAAGGGACTCCAAAGGCTACCTGGGAGGTGGAATCAGCAGCCAAGCTTAAATATGAGTCCTAAATACTCAGCCTTTTTCATCCCTGTTCTGTAAATTGTGTATAAAAGGTTCTAGTTACAGTTCTGAAGTTTGTAATGCTCCCTCTTTCTTACTGTATTCAAAATTATATTGCATCAATTATACATATGTTAAAAGGTTTGCGGTGCCATCCATAACCATGTCTTTTTGTTACCTGGGAGGCACCAGGTGTTTTATGGCCAAAGGCCATAACAATTCCTGACACTACTTGCCAAAGTCTAGAACTAGCACACTTAGCCAAAAACAGAGCACCAGAGGCATGTATGCTTTAGACTGCATACAATTGGTGATTGTGCAGTATTCATATCGTAGACATGCCCAGTAGTGCTGGGTAACCACGGAAAAATTTGTTTCTAAACTCGATTCATTTTTAGAGGGTTTTTGCATTTCGTTTTTTAAAAGAATTCCGAATTTTCCCTTTAAAAAAAATCGTTATTTACGAAATTTCGTAAATTTCGAATTGATTCGTTAATGGCGGACGCAATTGCTCAATACGCTAAAAAAAACCTCCAAATGGGACAGGGGGAACTTCTGAAGCTTCCCTCTCCCTCTGTTATTGACTGTTGGTGTGATAATTTATTTTTTTATCACTGATAAAACAAACAACAACTATAAAACTTGCACCAGACATACGGAAATAATAACGAAATGATTTCGAAACGATTTCGAAATGATTTCGAACCAATAACGAAAGAATTACGAAATAAATTGAAAAATTCGTTTTGATTTTTAGTTGCTCCTGCATGGCTCAATATCGGATCGTAAGCTAATTTAAATATGAATCAATAACGAATTACGAAATTAACGAACGAAACCGCCCAGCCCTAATGCCCAGATTTTGCTGAGGGAGGCCAACAAGATGGAATATTTGTGCAATGGTTCACATCATCTTTGGAAACCAATCTTGAGAAATTCTGTATAACTATAGTAAGACACTGATGATATATTTGTGATCCCTGTTTTACTTTTGAAGATATCCATATATATTCACATTCCATATATAACTCATATGTATCTTCTTATTACATTAGATCTTACATCTTCAGTTGTATGTACCTGATGTTTACAGATAATTGTTTCTCCATTTAAATTGTATATTTAATAGCTTTGAAAAACTTCATGCTATTTGTTTAATGCTACTTCTTTACTGTGTGTTTATACATGCTATAAGAATTTGGGAAAAGTTACTGTAAACTTGCTAAACATTCACTTTGAAGTAAGCATACAGCCAGCTCTTCACATTTGCGGCTTTGACATTTGTGGTTTTGACTAATATGTTCTCTTTAGCAATCTCTAGGCTCTTTAGGACCCCAACTCCCAGAAGTCCTAGCCAGCTTGTCCAATGGTCAGGAATTCTGGAAGCTGAAGTCCAAAACACCTGAAGGGCCATAGGTTGTGCACCACTGCTCTAAGCATTTGTAGGTACTCTGGCATGAATCTATGATCAACTTCCAGTAGAAGTTGACCATAGAGCTGTACTGGAGGAGCTAGCGATTCCTAGAGAAATGTCCTATCTGGTAAAAACATAGTGGTTTCTTTGTGGTTTTCTCCTTTTTTGGCAGGCTTACATCCCTAACCCCAGTGAATGTTGAGGGCTGATTCTGTTTTAGAAAATATGATAGAACAATAGAATTGCAGAGTTCAAAAGTCATATAGTCCAATCCTTTGCCTGTGCACGAAATCCGCAGATAGACTACCATCCAGTCCCTGCTTTAAAAATCTTTAGTAAAGTAGAAAATGCATCAAATTCCAGTGTTTCACTGCTGAGCACTTCTATCAGGATTGACTTCTTAACATTTGGTAAAAAAAAAAACCTCTTTTCTTGTACGTTGGGCCCTTGGAATCCGTTGGGATTTGGTGATAAGATCCCACATGGACACCAAAAATGTGGATCCTCACGTTCAACCCTATACAATGGTGCAATAAAATTGTATCCTTTATATGAAATAGCAAAATCAAGGTTTCCTTTTTATCATTGGGGGGTGGGGGTAAATATTTTCAAGCCATGGAGGTTTAATCCTTGGATACTGAATCTGTGGCTATGTAATCTCAATCAATTGGTTCAAATCCTGCCTTGCTGTGCAAATAAAAAGCTGTTCTGGGGAAATGACTAAATCATGTTACAAATCTAAGCTTCCACAAGATATTGCCTAATAATAGTGATAACTATATTATTTCTTTTTTGCTTTGTCTTTGATGGAACAAAATGAGATGCAGAATTTATTTTCTTGTTAATGAGTTACTTGCAACTTGTTGGATGCTATAGTTTGATTGAAAAATATGTTGATTGAGTCTGTTGATGTAACTGTTTGCCAGTGAATATGCCTGACGGAGAACTGACTGTTATTCTGAATAAGACAATTGAGATGCATCTCCTTCATTGATTAGCTGGCAAAAGACTCCATTGTAGCATGACAAGTCTGAATAGTGTGCGTTGCTATGGGAAGTTTACAAAGCTTGTTACTAACGGACAGTTGAGCTTCTTAGAGAATAGCAAATATTGCCTCTGTGTTCATTTATCTCTGGGAGGTCATTTATGTGTGGTTGCAGTGCATGTAGAGCTAGATTTCTTTTTTTATTTTTGCAGGAAATAAGCATGATGATGGGACACAGAGTGATTCAGAAAATGTAGGAGCACGCAAGCATTACAGTAAACGGGCAGCACTTGAAGAGCAGCTAAGGCATCATTATGCAGAACAGAGAAAACTGCACTCGAAAGCCCAGGATACAGAGAAGCATTCAGACCAACCAGTTGCGAGTCAGACTGCTTTTATGATTGAATTCTTTGATGAAGGCCATCCTCGGAAGAGACGATCATACTCTTTTTCTCAAAATGTGGGATCTTTGTGCCCTGAAATATCTTCTCCAGCACCCCATGCAAGAACTGAAAAAGTGAAACCTGCATCAGGTGACTCCAGAGCGTGTTCATCACCTCTACAGAATACTTCTACTCAACAAAGAGCAGTACATGCAAAACTTCTAAAGCAGAAATCTGAAGAACCCTCTGCTGTGTTACCTTTCTTACAGACTGCATTGCTAAGAAGTTCTGGAAGCCTTGGGCATAGACCAAGTCAAAGTGAAGACATGGAAAAGAAGTTAAAAAGCCAAGCAATTTTGACAACTTTAGAAAAAGATGATGATGATCAAAGTGATAAAGGTACTTATACTATTGAACTGGAAAACCCCAATGCTGAGGAAGTGGAAGCTCGCAAGATGATTGATAAGGTAAACCATTTAAAAACTAGAATTTATGGGACATTAATATTTCTGTGAATCATTATTACTTACTGTATTTTGGCATAAATAATGTTACGTTACACTTCTTTATATTACCTTAACATTTTTGGAAGCCATATCTTAAAGGTTGTTTAATGCCCATGTCAGTTTGTGGATCCTGAAAAGTAATAGTTGTGTATTTTTTAAAAGTTTTCTTGAATAGATATGCGGTTGGATATATCCCAGCTATCTTGTGATATCTTTCTAAGAAATATATATATAACTTTCAAATAAAAAAGCAATTGTCACTGGATACCAATATAGTAGGGCTCTCACCATCTCTATTTTTACCAATTTCTCAATTTGTTTGAGTGTGACAGATTACAGTAGTGGGGGAAAAACAAGTAAAAATGTCATTACCAATGGAAAATTGTCAGTTTACATAATTTCAGTAATTTAAAATGTATTAACCAGATAAAATGACAAGTGGGGGAAGAAAAACAACTACACTAACAAATGCATTTGATCTAGATTTTCTCTTTTAAGTATGCTGCCAACTTTACCAGGACATCTTTTTGCAGATGAGACTGACATTCTATCCCGTTCCTCTCATTGAGCCCCCTCTGTTACCTTCCATTCTTTTTCAAAACGTTTTCCAAACATATGAAGCAGGTTTGAGAAGGTAGATTGACATTGAGTGGGAAGGAGAAATGTATAAAAATGTTGTTGCTCCCTCTTTTTCTGTTGGGAGAATCTGACAGGGAAAATTCTGCCAACCGGTAGACTGGATCCAACTCAACTTTAAATAAATAAACTCATTTTCTTAAATCACAGATTTTCTGTATCTTGTAACTAAAAAGTAACCTTTACTTTAATTGAATATTTGCACATTGGACTCAAGTGTTGGTCAACTGTATTAGAGACTACAGTGCTGCTAATGAGAAAAAAAACTGTATTGTGTGAGTGGTATTCGTGGGTTCTTCCTTGAAAAACAGAGAGAGCAGAAAAAACAGTGATTTGCCTGTCTTTTGCTCCCTCAGACGAGATCTAACACTGGAGGGAAAAAAGGGAAGTAGTATTTTCCTGGGGGTAGTCTTTATCTTAAATAAGAAGGTGTGTGTACCATATTGTAAAACTAGATTTAGCATTAACACTCTTCCTACATAATCCATATTTCATTTTCAAGAGGCCTATTGATTTGTGTAGCCCTGTGTCTTGTAATGGTTCTTCAAAGATCTTTCTGCTGGTTGGAGAGGAAAACAAGTGAGACCCTCCTTCATTTTGTTTGTTCATCCTACATTTCTGTATGATTTTCCCCATATTATTGATTCAGGAACACAGGTGCTTGCTGTTCTCAATCCAATGAGGCATTAGATTGGCATGTTCCTAGAATGTGATATGCACAGTGGGTGTTTCACACAAAGTCATTAGTCAAGTATTACATACATTCATATACACCTAGCATGTAAGAGGTAGTATCTGCTCAAAAATGATTATGGCAAGTAAACACTATCCTGTTTGCCATCATAAATATGTAAGATAATTTGTGTGTATCAGCATGCATATAGTTATTACTGGATCTTCAAAATGCTTATGACTCTGTACAACTCTTTACAATTCCAGTTTACAGTGTGTGTGTATGCATTTGTTTATCTAGAATTGGGTTGCTGGGTTAGCAGTCTTCCTTGAACTGTGAATTACTCTGGCATGAATCCCATTATTGGTTCATGTAGAATAGACTCATTGTGCCCATGGAACTTACATCATTGCTAAGAACTTGGAGTGTGCTGGGTTTCACAACACCCTGGACTGACAATTATCTGTAGCATTTTTATAAGCCATGCTCAAGTTTTTTGTTTTCTGTTCAGACATATATTGGAATTTGACTTCCTTTTCTTTTAGAGACTTTGGAATCAACCTGAGTGTTTCTCTATAATGGCAATAGCCAATTTTTCTCTTTAAACAAAGTGGCATTAGGAAGACTGTTAATTCAAAAATAAATGCTTATGTGTTTCATGGAAACCATGATTCACTATTCATATTTAGTTTTTCAGGCTATTTTGCCTCAAAAATAGAAAACTAAATGCAAGCATTTAGCTCTGTTGTATTATCAATCATAGAGTGATTCAAGCTCAGATTCACTACCATGTATCACAGTTACTGCTTAAAGGTATTTATGCCTCTTGCTATGACAAAGTACTGGTCAAAAGAGTAAATATTCTTGCTCTCTTATTGTTTTGATGTACTAGCTGTTGAAGATTTGTAACTGTATTTGTAATAATAGATAAATGTGTGATGTCTGTGGATAGGAAATATATGTTGGCATTCCTATTTACCGTACTTCATTTTATTATATTTTGCTTCACAGTGTTATTGGTTCCTTAAGTGTCCAGTGGACCTCAAATGAGATCCAGTTGTAAGTTGGGCACAAAGCAATATTACTAACTTGCTAAAGATCTAGATGCAGAATATTGGTCAAAAGCACATACCGTGGCCTTTTTGATCTCACAAGCGGCAATTTCCTCTTTTCTTCTTTGAGAAGTTTTAGAAACTGCATTACATGTTAAGTTGGTTTTTAGAGCAAAGGCTTCCTAAGCCACAATAAGTCTGATTTTACCTAAAATCTCAAATAAGACATTTGTTAGTGTGTATAGTCCGGGATATCCCTGGCACTGCCTTATCCTCCTGCCTTACCCTCCTGTAAAGAGTTAGGTTTAGTTCCCCTCTGCTTTCTTTTTCTAGGCTAAATATTTTTTTTATTCTTTTACTAGTATGTCACTCTTAAATGGATTGAATTTTGTGAAAGCTGCACTGTATTCTGTTTATTTTATGTACACATAATTATATATATATATATACCCGTATATTCCGGCATATAAGACGACTGGGCGTATAAGACGACCCCCAACTTTTCCAGTTAAAATATAGAGTTAAGACAACTCCCATGCATAAGACTACACCCGCGTATAAGACGACCCCTGACTTTTGAGAAGATTTTCTTGGGTTAAAAAGTAGTCTTATACGCCAGAATATACTGTATATATATATATATATATATATATAAACAAAGCTATAATTCCAAAATAATAGCTTCACATCTATCAGTAAAACCTTAATATCATGTCCAAGTGATTAGGTACTAGAATATTAAATGACAAATTAAGTTACCCCTCTGTTCAGCTGTTTGGTATAGTTGTGATTGAGAGAATTTTAAAATGTTATAGTTCTTCTTAGTTGACTGGTAGTCATGGGCTCGGTATTTGTCTCATTTGTTACTTTTGTGTTTTTGTTCCGTACTGTTCATTCTATAACCTGCAACTGAGCACCACTTACTCAGTGCTCGGCTGTAGGCCCTGGCACTTTGTTGTCAAGGGGCTGAAAATATTTATTTTTTCAGAGATTGGACAGAAAAGCTCATTTGGAAATGCACCTGTTTTTGGGAGAGGTGCCCGAAAACTAAAATGGGGGTCTTACGAATGAAACAAACTGAAATGGATGTTGATTCTGTAGAAATTCACAAGACTATTGACTGAAGCACAACTTAGTTTTCACATCAATAAGTGTGATTAATTGCTAGCAAGTTATTTCTTCCGTGATTAAATTTGGGCAAAGCTTTGTTTTTACCGTTTAAAAAAGGCAATAGATGCAGTGAATCTGTGAGCTTAGTCAGTAAATAAAAAGAAGGGCGTTTCACATGTTCTTTTTTTATCTGTTTGTTGGAAATAGTAGATTATTTGTCTGGTATTTTCTGTAAAATAATAAGTGTTAATCAGCAAATCAAAGTTCTTCTCTAGTATAATCTACTGATTCATATCCAAATTGAAGTACAAACATAGCATAGCAAACTATTGTTGTAGTATGTAGAGTAGTGTCAAGAAAGCTGTCCAAAGTAGGTACAACGTTAACAAACTACAGTGATTTAAAAAGGTAGCCAAACAGGATCCCAGTATGCTTGAATGAGTGGTAAGACTTCCCTGAATTCTACTGTACTAGATAACTATATAGACCACGTTCCAAACTTCCATGTTTGACAATGTACTGCAACAGCTTGGGGCTTCTTAACTCCAGGTGTTCCTGAATAATGCAAATTATCTGGATCCATTTCAATCTGGTTTCAGACCAGGATATAGGACAAAAACAGCTTTGATCATCTTTCTGAATAAAACCACCTTGGTGGATGAAAAAGGGTTATCAACAAGCTAAAGAAGTGTGACCAAGATGGCTGTGAAGCCACCCCTATTATAATGGTTGAGATAATTAACTAGACATGCTTATAGTAATATCAAAGCCATGTTTAAATTTCTGAATAATTCTGTGGTGGAACATGGAAAAGGCAGGAGAAATAATACAATATCAGTGGTGATTTAGAAGAAAGTATTTTATTTATTCAGATCAAGATTAATACCACATACCATTCTTATATTAACCTAACTTTGTGTTACTGTACTAACAAGGTACAATCTCCTTTCTACTGTCTCTGATTTACAACATTTCAGTTTAAAGAAGCAAATGATATACTGATCTTGTATAGGAAGAAGGATGATGTTGGCTTATAAATCACCTCTTTCTAAGTTTGGCAAGCTGCATGAGAGATGGGGGTTTTCCCTGTGAAATCTGTTTTGTATTTTCCCACTCATATACCAATGAGAGGCAAAATCAATATATTAAACCTAGGTGTTAACATTGTTTCCCCTTCTGTTGTTAGAAATAAAGGAAGGTTTTGGGTCTACAAAGCCTACTTGGATCACCTCAATATCAACATGAAACACTGGTGTATTGGGATTACCAAGAATTTAACATCTGCCCAGCCCATAGAGCTACACTTCTACAACATCTTATGGCCTGTTGGAAGTAGGCTGAAAAATTATTTAACTCAGGATGCCCCTCTAACTGTTTAGTTATAACCAGAATCAGTTGATTCATAATTTCAGTCAACTGGTACTTATGCTACCCTAGCAACAAAAAACAAGGTTTCTTGTCATGGTCTTCTTTGCTTGTCACACTATCTTCAGGTGTGGATACTCATGTGTGTTAGGAAAACACAAATGGGCAATATCTGTATGTAAATAAAAAAGTTTGATGTGTATTAACATCAACAATAATTTATAGAGTACTTTAAGACTTTTATTTTTGTATTTATAGTATACCATGTAAATTAAGTATAGTGCTTTCATATTCAGATTAATCAGAATTCAGAAATTAAATATCTTTGAACTTGCCAAGGACTGAAATATATGGGTTCTGCTCATGAAACTTTCTATTTTTGATAGTAAATCATGGGCAAGATTTTGATGTTATAACAAACTATTAAAGCATTCTGTGAAAACTCTTTACATTTGGATATGGTAGTGTCACCACCCATACATTCAAAGTGAATATTATAAGGAAGGCCTTCAGTTAATGTGTGTGATGATTTGTTTTATTTTCAGGTTTTTGGAGTGGATGGCAGCCAGGATTATAATAGGACTGTTGTCAACGAGAGCCAGAAAGATTTAGTAAAAGATTGGGCTATAAATTCTGCTACAGTAGTGCTGGAAGAAAAAAGACCACTGAGTACAACTGGATTTCTTGAAACAGAGGTAGAATTCAATTTTTGATGGGTCATCTTCTTTTTTCTTCCAGTAAAGGAGAGGACTTCTATATAGTGAGTACTGAGTAGCTAGCAAGCTGAGTTCCATTGCAGAGTATTAACTAAGTTATTTTCATCTGTTTCTAGTTTCCTTATTAGAACATACCTCTTTTTCTGTTAGTACTTCTAAAATAAAGATTGGTTAGAATCTCTGTTTTTAAATAAGTTTTTAATAATTAACATACTACGTGGCATGTCTTTCTGTCCAACTTTTCATTTCTTTATTTAGCTGTGCTTCACTCTTTATACCTGTACAAAAGTATAACATTTGACTGTAAGGAAAATATAACTGCTAAAATTACTGCATTTATAGTTGGTCAAAAAAAAAAAAAGCCCGACACTTTCAAGACAAAGGAACAGACTAAGGGAAAGAAAAGGCAGAATATGAGCTAAGATGAAAAGAAGTTCCCCTTTCTAGCTGAAGTGATGTATTTCACTATTTCCATAAAGCAATTGCTTAAAAATCATAATGTCAGGTATTAATTCTATAAATAATCCTTTCTCTCATTTTTTAAAAAGTTTTCTGAACTTTTACAGGTTTGAGAAAAGTGCGAAAAACCAGTTATCCCATATCTCATTGTGGACTGATAAAGTGCATACATTTATTTTAAGGGAACATGGAGTAAAACATCCTGAGGCAGAATGCACGTGTTACCAATATAACAGTGTGTCTCTATATACCACAGTTGGTCTATAGACTAACCATAAAAAGAAATGGCTATTATATTTTCTTTTCATGGATACATTCTGGGTAAAACTTAGGTGCAGGTAACATTTTCCTCTTTTTTTAGAAATAGAGGGAACATAATTAAGAAGTGCTGAAGAAAGTATCTGTGTATTTGAGGGATTACTGTGGAAGGGGGTTATAAATTACACTGTTGATCTTAAAATCTCTACATCTGGGCAGATACAAATAGGAATGTGAAAAAAGGGGAAAGGGAAGAAGAGCAGGGAAAGCAACCTGTTTTTTTATTATAGACTCATTGCAATGGCAATGACTAAAAGTGGAGATGAGAAGTGCTCCTACTTCTCCCTGACTCAAACTAGAGAAATACAATGTGGCTCCCTGGCATTGCTGATTAATTGTATTCAAGGCTGAAACATATGTGTGTGCGTATAACACACACACACACACACACACCGGATATTCAATATTGATGAATGACTTTCTACTTAAGTCTTCACGTGATATTTTAGTATCTTTGGTTTTGTATTAGTTTGTTAAGTTTATTAAACAGCAGAAAATACGTATCTTGAAATGGCAACGTTAATCTGAAATTTTCCGAATACTGTGGGATTGACGAAATAAAGGGGAGAAAGTTGTCAATTTTCAACTGTGCAAAAATTGTTGAAGTAATCCATTCTAAGATTACACTATATCTCAACTTTGGCTCATATACACCAAAGAGAAAAAACACTGTTTATGCAATCAGTTCTTTCAAAAACCATAATTCTAGTTCTCCCACTCCTCCTTTAGGAACCCTACAAACTATTAAATATATATATTAAAAACACTTCTGAGAGTTTTCAGTTGAACTATAAAGTTTGAAATTCAAGCAAAGTCTTATTATGAGTTTCTAAAGCTCAAATGTAAAATCCTGAAGCAGAATGACTTTTCACACATCTATCTATCCATCCAGATTGTTATATTGAAATGCTCCATATTTTAGATGCTCTAAATGTGGAATAGAAGACACAAATACATGCATCCAGAAATTGCTCATTTTTGGATCTGTAAGTATTTTGTCCTTTCAAAACAAACTACTTGTAATATCTGGAGTCTGAAGTCACAGACACTCCTGTGAACATAAGGCTTTTTAATAACTTGTAATATATTAGAATTTTCTTTGGGATAAAAATAGCCCATAAAGGTCTTATTTATCTGCCTAAATAAGGGTTAAAGCACATTATTTAGTAATGCTAAATAAGAGCATATTGAGGGTTTTTTTTCCAGTGTTGTACTAAAAGAATGTTCCTACCTTATAGAATCTGTAGTAAGTGACTCCATAACATATCCATAGCAACACACACACACATATTCTAATTGTCCTTTAAAATGCTACAAACAAAAATCCTGCTCAGAGTGGTTTGTTTAAATTCCTAGAACAATCTCAGAAGGTAAATAAGAGATACTGTGTGTGTGAATGTGCCTTTTAAACATCTCAAAAGTTAAGGTCCTTTATTTTCTTTTTGAATCTGTCAAATAGCATATTACAAAGGCCATTTTTATGTATTTACTGTATTTTCATTCTGTTTTTACCACATTTTAATTGTTTTTTTTAATTTTCATATTGCACCTTTTAAACTTGTTTAGTGTGGAGTATAAGCCACCTTGAGAAAAAGGTGCGGTATAAATAAAGATAGTAACATTATAATAATACAACAACCCATTTTATGCTTCTTAGTCTTGTTCACTGACCTTCTTACTCCTTTTCAAGAATGCAAAACTATGGTTTAATATTTCAGTTTTGTCTTTCTCCATTTTTTTGTTTTAACAGAAATAGAAAACTGATGGTAGTTGGAGTAATTTAATTTCTAAATAAACACTAATGATGTCCAAGGTTCACACAGTAATACCTATACAGACTACCATGAATTAGTCTGATTTAACATTAGTGGAACTACTGGACACTTAACTGAACAAGATTCATATTATTCAGGGGTTTTCATTGCATTCCTCTTAGGTTGAGTTAATGTGATTTCCTTAAGGGTATCCTATTTTTTCCTACGAGTAGGGATTTGCACCCTGAGCTTCTAGAGTCTTATCTAACAGTCCAATTATTACATCATTCCAGGTAATGGACAAGACATATTTTTGAGTAGATCATATTTGCAGGAACTATAGGGTTTAGACTTATGACGTTCGTGTATTTTACCCTGTTGGGGCTCTAGAAGTTTTAAAAGGACTAGCAGAGATCCACATTGTATTGAAAGAATCTGTGAAAGCATCACAGAATTGTATAGAAATGTTTATAAATTTCACTTTTTGGGTGTCTCCTAATTAAAATAGCTTTCAGAAGTCAAAGGCCTGTGTTTCAAATGCTTTAAAATCAGCCTTCTTGTTTTTGTTACACCAGCTTTTTCGCCCATTTGGCATGCAATAATCAGACAATACACTAGTGGGCATATTTGGTAAAACAAAACATCACTCTCACTTTATTTCAGCCAACATAGATCTACATTATTGCTCCATTAAAATAGTTGAACAACCAATGAATGGACACTTCAGAATATGTACATTGAAAATTATGTCAATTTATTTTGTTCTTTGAGAAAACATACTTTCCTTATTTTCATGCTATAAGAAAATTGTATTCTTTAGCAAAATTGAGAGTGGTACTCTTCTGTCATAGCTTTCTTTGCCATCAAAAACTCTGCTCCAGAGAATTTTCTTGCCCTGTTGGGCGTATTTTTAGGATTTGGTGTGAATAGAGAGTCTTTGAAGCAGTAAGATCCAGTAGAACTACGTGGATGTATCATGGTGTATATGTACATAAAGTTAATGAAAACAGTAGTTGTTGGGGGGGGGGGCAAATACTAATGGGTTAGAGATGTCTCCCCTAGATCGATTGCCTTTAGCATGTGAAATAACTTCTTGTTTGCACTTTGTGACTCACCTTATATATTTAACTGAACACACCAACTGTGTTACATTTTGATTTCAGTTCAAAGTAGAACCTCACTTCATTTTTGAAACTTTAGTGGACCTCCCCATTGACTAACAAGAAAATGAAAAAATGAGGGCTGAAGGTGTAACAGAGTTAGAGGCATTGTCCTGTTCCAAGCAAGCCTAAGAACTGTGCCATGCTTTCAGTCTCAGAATGAGAATGGTGTGAGTTAAATAAGAAAGAAAAAGAAATGTATACACCTTTGCCAAGAGGCATTTTTGTAAGAATAATAAGCATTTATGGAGACAGGAATGCTGCCATTGGCGATGGATGAAAAGAAAGCCTGTATTGGATATCTGTGACTCTCCAGATATTTTTTTGTCTGAAACTCTCATAATCCATCACCATTGGCTATACTTGCTTGGACTGCTGAAAGTTGTAGAAAATAAAACATTAGGAGAATCTCAGACTTCCAGTCATGTTCTGCCACATCATCTGTTGCTTGATAGCAATCTAAATGATTTTGATATACAGTAGGCAGTTGGAAGGGCAAACCATAGGATGGGGGTTAGATTTCCTTTTTCAGTGTTTGAGAGCTAACATTTTGAGTTCTCTATTTCCAATTGAGCAGAAAGTGGGAAATTTAAGAAGTTTAAATCCTTCATTACAGGGATTAAATTTGTTGTCAGGGTTATTCTATTTAATTGTAAATGTTTCAGGAGATGTTGTAAGACATTATATCCTATCTTGTTTGTAACTTGGGAATTGCCTGTATTGAGAAAACCAAAGCTGTTGCTGTAATATAATGATGCATGGAGTCCCATAATATTTTTATGGTGTAAAATTGTCATGTTTGTGGAACAATGATGTCAATCATTATAATATTAAATGTATATATAATATAACAAAATAGTAAATTTTGGATTAATATGCTTTATATTCTGTGTGATAATCTGTATCAATATATACTATTATAATGAATATAGTAAATCTTTCCAAACTTAATAATCCTCATAGCAAATTATTTGTATTGCTGTCTGTGGCATATCTCATATAGCAGGGATTTTCACAGTTATCACTAATGAAGCCATTTCAGCCAATTCATATCGAAGCAAAATAATATGCTCTGTAGTTTTGTTTTCCCAACAGTAAACACAGATGCACATTGAGCCCTATGAGTAATTGTTTCCCTTGTTGACTCATCAGCTGTTTTCATTGCTGACAATTTTTAACTGAGATGGTACCCAAGAAAAGATGAGACAGTTGCCAGTATACTTACATTCAAGTGACAGAAACCAGATAGCTGTTACTCATCCCCGCAGACTTACACTTATATAATTAAAAATAGACCTCTTACATCATCTAGATATTGAAGCAGTATTTTTGTATTTGTTCTAAGGTTTGTAAACTACCTTGAGATAGGATGTAAGTTAATAATTATAATATGATATAAATAATTACCGTATATACTTGAGTATAAGCTGACCTGAATATAAGCCGAGACACCTAATTTTACCACAAAAAACTGAGAAAACTTATTGACTCAAGTATAAGCCGATGTTAGGAAATGCAGCAGCTACTGGTCAATTTCAAAAATAAAAATAGATACCAATAAAATTACATTTATTGAGGCATCCATAGGTTTAATGTTTTTGAATATTTACCATAGTTCAAAGAAATAAAGTAAACCAGCTCTGTAAGTGGAAAAGGAGGATCAACAAAAACAATATGATATCAACAATAACTTTTTAATAATGAGGACTCAGCACAGCTTCCAATATAGTAACAGGCAAACATTCAGTGCCTATGTAAACAAAAACAAAAAAAATTAAAAATTAAACAAAAGACAATACCAAATATTGTACAATAAGTTAAAATAAACAATTGCATTAATAAATAATTATCATTAAAAGCAATAAAAAAACCAGCTGAGGTAAAGTGTCACATCCGTTCTCCTTTACCTTCTCTCAGGCCTCTCCTATTAATGCAGCCTAGAATGGCATTGGCCTTTTCAGCTGCAGCATCACACTGTTGGCTTATGTTGGGCTCGTGGTCGACCAAGACTCCTTTCATATAACCCGAGGCTGAAGATGAAGGCTCATGGCTCGCCAGTGGCCAGCGCTGCTGCCGGCACCATTCATTGGCCCGTTCCATGGAACTAAAGGCTTGACTTGAATATAAGCCAAGGGGGACTTTTTCACCCCCAAATAGGGCAGAAAAACACGGTTTATATTCGAGTATATATGGTATATTACAAATAATCGCCTATATTGTTATCTATATTATTTACAGGCAGTCCCCAAGTTATGAACAAGATAGGTTTGTTCTTAAGTTGAATTTGTATGTAAGTCGGAACAGGTACATTTTGTAAGTGTAACTCCAGCCACACACACACACACATAGGCTTTGGATAGCATTGGGAAGAGTTAACAACCGAGTGGTGTTTGTTTTGTTGTCTGTGTCCCTGTGTAAGTTAGATGTTTGTAACTAACACACTGCCTGTAATTAGATGAGACAATGTAATTAATATAATAATTATAGTAGACAGTACCATATTTACTCGATTCTAATAATCAACTTGATTAAATTACTTTCCCAAAATTAGGGTGCGCATTAGATGTGCATAATATGGTAAATACTTGTTTAAGGTTTCAAGGTTTTGAAAATTGAGGCGTGCATTAGATTTGATGATGGCACATTAGACTTGAGTAAATATGGTATATTATTATAGTTATTATTTTTAACATACCTAAAACAGCACACAATTTTTTTAAAAGACCATTTTTTCTACAGCCTTGCAAACTCAGTAAGAACAATAGAAGAGGGAACAGGATAATGGGGAGGAAGAGAAATCTTGGAATCACAGAATTGGAAAGGACATCTTAAACTGTGGGTCCTGTCCTATTGGGGTCCCCTTAGCTCAATGTTGCGGTTCTGAAAAATTTGACAACAGTAAAGGTTTTTGGAACATCACCTACTGGCTGTTTTAAACTTTTAAACAAATCTGTTGTGCAGTGTTTACAGTCGACTCTGCAGAAGATACTTCAATTGTATTTCATAAAAAAAGGAAAATCATCTTGTTTAGCAAGCCTTGTAAATGCTGATTTGTTATCAGTAAATATCTAATTTTTATACCAACTTTATATGCATATATACCTGGGGTCATTTAAAAGTTTCTTGAGCCAAAAGCGGTTGTGAGTGGAAAAGTTTAGGAAGTCTAATTGATCTAGTCTAATTCAAAGCTAAAGCACTCTTAAGATGTGCTCTCTGCTAAGGACTTGCAATGAAGGTTGAGGAAGGAGATTTAGAGAAAGGAGGATGCTGCCCATTCCAATAATAATAATAATAATAATAATAATAATAATAATAATAATAATAATAATAATAATAATAATTTCTTATATCCCACTTTTCTCCCTGAATGGGACCTACCACAAATGAATTGTTATTGCAGTGGTTCTCAACCTGTGAGTCCCCAGGTGTTTTGGCCTACATCTCTCAGAAATCCCAGCTAGTTTACCAGTTGTTTGGATTTCTGGGAGTTGAAGGCCAAAGCATCTGGGGACAGGGCTGTAGCCGGAGGGGAGGGGGCTGTTAAGCGTTCTAACCCCCCTGAAATGTGTCAGGGTAAAAAAAACCCAGTTTGCTCATTAATTGTAACTGGTCAATCAATTTATGAGGAAACTAGGTTTTTTTAACTTGACACATTTTGGATTTTTTTAAAAAAACTTTTAAACCAAACCCCCCTCTGGCTACGGCCCTGTCTGGCGATCCACAGGTTGAGAAGCACTGTGTTATTGAAATGCTAGAATGGAATTCTTCCTGGTACAGAGAGAAATGCTCACACTTGGTTCTACTCCTGTTCCTTATGGGCCATGGCTGCTGATCTGCAGCAAGCTTCTAGTTTATGTTTCTCTGAAAACTGGAAAAAAAGACGACTCTCTTATCACTCTCCACCTAAACTTCACCAAGCTAAACTATCCCCCCGCCCCACTTCCCCTATCAGTGGTGAAAACTTACTCTGATACCTTTTCAAAACAAGTCAGCTGCAGGCTCAATGGTTAAATATACAAACAGCTTAAACTTTAGATATTGTGAGTCACTATTTACAAATAATGTTATACTTTTAAGTAACTTCTTCTACAAACTAAGAAAAACCTGTGTTCATACAGTTGCTGCTCCTTTTATGCTGAAACCTTCATGTTTAAAATTACAGCTGTTATTGTTGCTAACATCAGCATCATCCCATTTTCCTCACTTCAGGGTTGATCAAACCATTTAAATTTAATTTCTTTAAAACATGAACCATTGAATAGGAAAATAGCAAAACAGCCACTTGGTATAGTTGTTGGGTTGTGGCCTCATTTTTAGAAGAAATATTGCATTCATCATAAGTGACTCTCTTTTGGCTGCTAGCATTTTGATTTCTTTTTAAAAGACAGATAAAAATATTTTAGTTATTTGTGAGAAACATGGAAGTACAGAATTACTGCTTTAAAGAACATAATTACATTTTAATGTCAGAACAATGATGGTGTGAAATTGTTGTGGGGGTGGGGATGGGACTTACAACTATCTTAACAACAGCATCAGTGGTGTGAGTTAAGTCAGTCTTGGGAAGAACTTAAGGCAACCCACCCTAGCACAGGGAATTTTGTGATGAGAAGTGGGGGGGCTTGCATGGGGGAGAGAAATATTTTTAATAGGCTGGAGGGTTCTTTCTGGACAGGCAAGTCAGTTGGTTACAGTGGAGGAAATGCATGATGAAAGTCAAATTGGTTGTGGGGGGTACCTTGATAATGTTGAAGGAAAGGAGGTCTGATAATACAACAGTAACCATTGGAATTTGCCAATACCATAATTTATTCTGCCTAGTATAAGAAATAAAATTGAACTATTTTGGAAACTGACACTAAGGAGTTTTCTTAAACCTGAATCAAGCAGGTGGTCTTGCTTAACATCAGAGAAACATCAGAGAAACAACTTTTACAATGAACTTGTCCACACTGGGTGGTCATAGTGATAGTGGCAGGCTTCCAAAGTTAGGAACAGTGAAGCCAGTCTTGAAAAGGCACTAGTCACATGTTGTATCTGATTATGTTTTTAAAATAATTTGTTCTATCAATTCATGCCAAAGAAAGCTAGGCTTATCTTTCATGATGTCCAGTGTAGTTTTGCAGCTAGGCCTGCATGTTCCGCATTATGCCATGCTGGATCCACCTTAATTCTTGCTCTTTCTCCAAACTCGAAAAAATTTCTCTTGTCAGACGAAAGAAGACCAAACCCAGGGAAGTGCTGTGAAGGATCAAACCGTCTGTAATGCGGCCTTCCTCTTTTCCTGCTGCCTTCCACTTTACCAACCATTATTATATCTTCCAGTGAGTCATTCTGTTCCATAATGTGTCCAAAGTCATTGGCTTCTGATTAAAGTTTGTTCCTAATTTGCTCCTGCACTTTTGGTTGTCCCTTTGGCTGTCCACAAAACTCCCCTGTAGTAGCACGAATTGACATCCCACCCCACCCCGTGGGCTTGCTTCATTCTGCAGCTTTCACATCCATACATAGAAATCAGATATACTGTGACATGGATTATCCCAACTTTTGTATTCAGCACTCAAATATTTTACCAAGTTATTTCATAGCTGCCCTTCCTTTTATACAGTACAATCTCCATTTTAATTTATGGCTTACACAAGGTGTAGAAAATCATTAACAGATATGATGTCTTCATCACCTACGTTAAAGTTATGCAGATCTTCTCTGATCATTATTTTTGTTTTCTTAATATCAAACTCTAGTTTGTTTAATAGTTAAATGTTCAAATCAGTCTTATTAAATGATCTGAATTTCCAACCAAAGCCACTCATGAGTTAACACTAACTCATCAGAAGATTCTTTAATGGGACAATCAGATATATAAAGGTCCTTTCAACTAAACAAAGATAACTATTTGGAAGGTGTTCCAGTAGTAACCATGACCTTTGATGCAGAATGAGCAGGCTGTAAAACTGAAACCTAAGCATCCATTCTCCAGAACAACAGCTAACTAACATAGTCGTAGTTGCTGGTAGACTGTCAGTGAATTTTGCTTATAAGTACTGTAACATGTGTTCTTTCTTTTACACAAGAAACAGTGTCCCATTTGGTTAGGTAAGATATTGCCAAACAGACTGAATGTGGTTTGAAACCCACTGGAACACCATAAGTTGATGGTACAAGATCTCAAGTTAGAGACATTGAAATGCTTTTAAGAGAAATGAAAAGGAAGAACATAACACATATGATTGCGACAGGGGTTTTGTTTTGTTTTGTTTATATTACTGTTGTTAGGGTCCAGTCTGGAATCAGGCTGTGTAGATTCAAGGTAAGATTCCTTTTCCTGAGTTGCCTCATCTGTTGTAGCCACATCAGATTTGTATGATTGATAAACAGTGCTTGGCACCTCTCTTCATCAATATAGTGAAGCTGGCATTTTGCTTGTAACACACAGGCTAAAGTCATGTCTAGATTTAGTGACTACAAATGTTAACATCCCCTTCCTTAATCTCCATGGATCACCAATCTACCACAAAACTTCTGAAGTCCTTTTGCCTCACCCAGTGATCATTCTGTGGTGGAGAATGGAAGGAATCACAGTAGCATCTGGCTTTGTCTCTATAGTCAAATGTGAGGTGATTAAATCAGTCACTAAGCACCCTGTCGGACTCGAGTGAAAGATGCAGTTGGTTTGTATTTGGCTACAGAAACATAACCAGATGTTTCTGTGATCCTCCCCCATTCTCCACCAGAAAGGTCTAGGGGTGGCAAATGGCTCAGCATAGTGAAGCTCCACATGTAAACCAACTACACTATACTGCATCATGTAAGATAGAAGCCCATGAATCTTCTCTTAGTTTTCCAGTACTTTAGTGCAGGGAAACTTCTGGCTTCATCAAACCAGAATATTAACTTGAGCTAGGGAGAAAGTCTTCTGGACCTTCATCCTTATTGGTATTCCAGTGTTGCAAGGTTATAAATATTCTCAGTTCTGATGGTGCAGAGCCATCCAGTTACATCTCCACCTTGAAGATAACTGAAGTGAGAAACATGCATAGTGCAAGAAACATAACTGAACTGTCAAAAGGTTTAACAAGCATCCTCAGACTGTGGCCCTCCACTTGTTTGAATCTCAAACTCCCAAGAATTCCTGACCATTTAATAAGCTAGCTAGGCTAGTGAGTTGAGGGCTAAAACAACTGGAGGGCTGCAGTTTGGGGATGCCTGTTTAACAGTATCAATGTGGGATCTTTGATCAGAAGAATTTCTAGCCAAGTCTATGTGTCTGAAAAAGCTATAAGACAGAATAGGTGTTGTTTTCCCTATTGTAGCTCTATAACAGACACCATTGCACCTATTACATTGCAGTTCAGGGAAGCAGGAACAGTGGAATGTTTGTTCTTTGCTTTGTTTTTAATTGCAGATGTCTCAGTGTGCCCTTTGGTGGTTCGGAAAACTGGGGGGAGGGGGGGCTAAATCACAATGAGTGGTCTGATTAATAAAAACGTAACACGTTACCTCTGAAATTGCAGAAAGATCTTTCTTTCTATGCTTGCCAGCTTTACTCATCATTGGTCTCTTAGTATCATTTTAATACTTCTCTGATTCAAGAGGCTCTTGGTGTGTGATTTTATTTTTACTGCTTTAACATTCATTTTTATTATGTTTTCACACTGCACACTGTGTTTGTGTATTTAGGTTATTGTTGCAGATTGATCCTCTTTCCTTGGAAAAGGAATGGCAAAAGTTTCAACTTGCATGGTGAAAGCAACTCCTTTGCCGTTTGGGTCCATAAAACTTTGTCAGATAGTCCTTAAACAAAAAGAGGCAAACTTACTAAGGCACTCACAACATCTTCATAGCAGATAGATTCAAGGGCATATCTTTCAGACCTTTCTTGTCCTCTCCTTTTCCCTTTTCCCTCTCTCCCCGGCCCCACCCTTTATGCACACCTCCCTCACAATCCTTCTTTGGAAGCTTTTAAGCAGAGGCTCAATAGCCATTTGTTAAGGGTGCTTTGAATGCAATTTTCCTGCATCTTGGCAGGGGGTTGGACTGGATGGCTCTATAATTCCATGATTGTAATCAAAGTCTCTTGAGTCTCGGCTCACATCTCCCTCCTTTGACGTAAGGGTAGATGTTTTATTTTCCCTAAGGGTGCCTCCCTCCTTTCTGCTCACACTCTTACAGTAATATATTTATGTATTTTTAAAAATACTACTCATGTATTGGAGCAGGAAATAAGAGTAGAAACAGGCAGTGTTTCTGATTGGATGATTGAGAGGGGAAGTCCTATCAACTACTATTCTGCTCCACATGTAATTTATTTATTATTTTAATGAGTCATGTTTATTTACTTTGTATCCCTCCTTGATTGGGATCCACAACATGCTCGCAAACACACTGTAAGAAACCTTCCAAATGCATGATTTTGGATTGCCATCTTTTGTGTAATATAACAAGGAGATTAATATGCCAGATCCCCATTTCATTGAAGAATTCACATTGATTTTCTGGCTTCAATTAGCATGTGTTCATCTGTAAGTTTTTGTTTTTATTTTGCAAGAAAGAAGCTGAGCTATATCTGTGGATTTGTTCACCTGCAGTTTTCCCTTGTGGTCACCGTGGTTTGCACATATGGTATAATCCTGCGCTCAGTTTTTAAGAATTTGTGGTCAGTGTTCCCCCTCTTCTCTAATCTGTATGGGTTACTGCACCTACGCAGGCTTTAATGTAAAGCTTCTCAAGCTCTGATTTTAAAGTTTTGGCAGTAACCCCACCCAGTCCTCCTTAGGGCATAAAAGGTACCCTGGCACCCTGCTTCTCAGTTCCTTTTTTTCCGCCACCACAGCAGCTCTCTCTGGAACTTCACTTGTATAAATCACACACCTTTTTCAAAAGATGTTGATGACTCGCTTCAAAAGCTGTATCCATTGCATGTCAAAGATCCTGGATTCTGATGGCCATTCCAAGTGGCTTCTTCCTTGAAGAGAACCATGTGGCAGCATTTCCAGGCCTTCACAGCCCAGGCCTGCAAAAACAGGGCATTCAGGCTGAAAGCACTCCTGTATGAACAAATCCTGGCTCCATCGACCTCCACAGCACCATCAACAGCCCCTTCTAAAGGGTCGACCACTTCAAAGATGTCTCAAGAAGTCTAGACCACTGAGCTTGACGCTGCCCCACTGCTCAACACCATTGAGAGCCCCATTAATATCAAGGTCAATAGCCTCGGCACAGTCAACTCAATCTATTATGGCCTCACCTCCTCCATAAGGATAGCGTACACATGAAGAGACAAGGAGAGCGAAGGTCGAGAAGATGGGGGCATTGCTCCCCCCCCCCCCGGTTCTACCAACACTGGATAAATTGGTAGAGGTGCAGCTTCTGAAACAAAAATAAGTCTGTTAAAAGGCAGAAGGTCCAACAACCCTCCCCCTCGAGGGTGGACCAGGTGACTTCATCGGCTGCCTCATCGCGCCTTCACTGCAACTGGCTCAACCCTCACATTTATCCCCAGAATCAGTGGTAGAGCCTCTGTCTAATGGTGAGTTGTAAGACTCCCCTCCCCAATCAACACACACCATTGTCCAGGCACCCATTCAAACCCAAGGACCCCTGGGCCCACCAGTGCAAGCCCATCAGAAACTTTTTCCATTGGCTGAGATGTCTCCTACAAAGGACTGCCAGACTTCTTGCCTAGCCAGAGTGGCCTAAGCCTCAACACTGAAGCAAGGCCCAGTTGCACCATGGCCACCTAGAGCCCCAGAGGTCCCTGTGATCCTTCTCCAGGTGGACCGGCGCTGCCATTCCGAGGAGGATGAGCTTGGACCTGAGGAGGTCGAATCTGTATGCTTTGAGTCGGTATTGTCCTTTGGTCTTAACCTGTCACCGAAACCAAAGGATCTTCAAAGTCCTCTGCGTTTTCTCTTGTCTAATCCGGCACAAGCAGGTTCAGATGTTAACAGACAACACCACCTCAATGTACTGCATCAGCAAGCGGAGGCAAGGGATCCAGGAAACTCCTTGCACTCACCCTTGTCATCTGGGACTAGTGCATCGAACACGGGATTTCCCCGACATTCTTCCACCTGCCCAGGACCCAGAATGGCCTTGCTGACAGACTCAATAGGTGTAGACGACTTCCCACGATTGGAGGCTCAATCTGAACCAGTTGCACCACCTCTTCGACCAGTGAGAATAGCCACGGATTGATCTCTTCACCTTCAGGGCAAACACTCATCTCTCACAATATGGGGCAAGATTAATGCCAGTCAAGGCATTCAGATGCCTCGGAGATGCCTTTCTCCTGCAATGGATGGGAACATTGTTCTACATCTTCCCTTGAATTCCTCTCATTCTGAAAGTGCTTGAGTGCATAGCAGTGTTCTGCATGAACTGCATTCTGATATCACCAGCCTGACCAGGACAAGTCTAGTATCCAACCCTTCTGCATCTCTCCAACTGCTGTCATCAGTTCCTGACCCTCCCACACATCCTCTTCATGTAGGATGGACAGAACCTTCATTTGGACGTGCCCTTCCTCCACCTGATGGCCTGGAGGATTGAACCTTAGACCACTTTTCACACGGTTTCCAAGTTATACTTTGAACAGGTCACAGATACTCGGAACAACCTTCATCCTCCTGTCCGCCCCTGACGCCTGGATGGAGCCTTGAACTCGTCCTCTGTCAAATCTCTGGCCTTCCTTTCGAGCCACTCACCACAACTGATCTTTGACTAATATCATGGAAGGTAGATTTCCTCCTAGCCATCATATCTTCCCATTGCCCCTTCAAGCTGGTGGCTCTGAGGGTTGATGGGCCCTACCACATCTTCCACTGGGACCAGGCAGTTCTCTGCACAGGCATCACCTTTCTCCCTAAGGTAGTATCTGCTTTCCAGACTAGCTTTTTTCCAGTTCACTACATCTCCCCTGGAGAAAAAAACGTTCCTCTTAGATGTCAGAAGGGAACTGCTCTTCTACAGGGACAGGACTCAGTCTATAAGGAAGGCCCCTTCATTGTCTGTAGCTTATACTCAAGCTAGGCTTTCTTATCTCTTCTCAGAGGTACTCCCACTGGATTGCCTCTGCCATCAAACTTTGCTACCAACTGGCCCATAGACCTCCTCTGTCCATTGTTTGGCCTCGATCAACAAGAGGCATGGCAGGCTTGGCAGCTTTTCTCCAAGGCATCCCTCTGGACTCGGTCTGCAGGGCAGCAATTTGGGTCAGCCCTTTGACTTTTATGCCTCATTTCATATTGGACTTGAGGTCACATGCGGATGCTGCCTTTGGCAGATTGGTCCTTTCGTCTTGCCTGGTCTAGCCACCAGGATCCACCATGTCCCGCATGGGTATTAATTCCCCCACTCAGTTGTAAACCTTAGCCAGTGATAGATCAACAAGTTTTCTGTATTGTAACAAATGCTTTATTGAAAGTTTTAATAATGTCTATATTAAGAACACTGTAAAGCATCTTCTCTTGTTTATGTACTATTGCACTTCTTCCAATCAAGGGTTGATTCCTCACTGTCATCTTGGCTGCTACTGTTTTTGATGCTCTATATTGTACCTATTGTTGCACTAGGTTGATAGAGCCATTCCTTAAAGTTGTTTGTACTGAAGGGTATTCCTTCCTAACTAAGTACCTTCTGCTGTTGGCCAGAAAAGGTTATTTGTTTTCCATATTGCACTCTGTACTAAAAATCACCCTGGTGGGTGATGTGTTTTTGCATTGCAGTATTGTGCACTTTTCTATTGCTATGTGCCAATAAATGTTACACTTGGTTTACACAATACCTGGTGTTCATTTGACATATGTCCCGTCTACCTTGGCTTGCTAGTCTCCATAGGTGTGCATTCACAGAGACCATGAAAAAGAAGGACAGGTTACTCACTTGAAACTGTGTTTCTTCAAGTGGTCCTCTGTGAATTCACACAAATCCACCCATCCCTCCCCTTTATTATGGCAACCTCCTCCTTTCTAGCTGCTACTCACAGCACAGGAGTGGGGAGCCAGGGCATCTTTTATGCCCTGAGGAGGAGTAAGCGAGTTTACCACCAAACTTGAAAATCAGAGCTTGGGAAGCTTTTGTTAAACTCATATGTGTGGATTAACAGAGGACCACTTGAAGAAATACAGTTACAGGTGAGCAACCTGTCCATATCTGTGCAGACATACTGCCACCATCTGTAGAGAGAGAGAAAAATATTTGCATGGAATTCATTTCTGTAGTATGAGGAAGAAAGCAAGAATCTTAGTACCTATGAATATTTGCTTTGAATACTGTTGGAGATATTGATGAACATGGAATTCTTCTGCCTAGCTTACCCCTGGGCACCATGTTTCATTCATTTCCAATTACAGTAGCATTGTTGGAGTTCTTTTTCCTAACTGTACATGGAGTCTAGAGATAGAATATGTGTATGCATATTAAGCAGAGTGTTAGGGATATACATTACTAATATATGAGCCTTGTTGTTTATGCAACAGGCTGTGGACTCATCTGAGAAAACCAGAGTGGTGCGGGGAGGGGAATGCAATGATCAAACTCAAGTATGATCACAGTTTTAATATGTTTTAACCATTATTTGTAGGCATTCTTTATTTGTTTGAGGGGAGTGAAAGGTAATCAGTGTAATCCGACATTCCTCTGAGAGCTTTTTCTGTCCTAAGACTTGAGCAGTTATAATCTTAGAATTAATTTTAAGCAGAGAAATTCAGTTGACATGAGTTTAAGGATCAATAAAGATCTTATTTGTTTATTTATTTATATATTTATTCCAATGCACTATGAAGCACAAATAAATCAAAATTGAGTTCACAGATTAGCACTCAAAGAACTACAATTACTGTTATGCAGAACTTCTCATTCTTTTACTTTGATATTTTTACTTGTTTCTAATACTTGGCTCTTTCACACATTCTAAATAAGTAGGTGGAATAATCAGCACTATTTGGATTTTAAAGATGCATCTGGATATCTTTTACTTTTTTTGATCCTTAAGTAGACATTATTCCTTTTTATAACTGCAGGTTTAAACAACATACCAGTTATTAACATACCTGGAAATACTTGAAAAACTTTCAAGACTATGTGTTTTCAGTGTTCTGAGACTACTACTAAGAGATGTTGTTTATTAGTATCAATACTATTTCTATCATTATTTCGGAGGAAATAAGTGAAGCTTCACAGTCTCCATATCTATACTTCCTTTCTTTTCCTATATCTAAGTAAAGCTTCCTGGTATACACACAGAGGTCTCATGCATATTTTTCAAATTATAGTCTAATTGTAGTTTGAAGTGATGGATTAGACCATTGGTTACAAATTATGCAACAAATAGTTTGAGAAATTCAGTAATATTCTACAACTTGTGATTAAAAGAGAATGCACTTGCATGTCCTCTTTGATTACAAAATGGCAAGTACTGGCATAACTACATTTACATAACAGATACTGGGTTCTCTAGTCTTTCCAGATGTCTTTAAATCAATTTAGTACACACAGCTATAGTAAGTTACAGTTCTCTATATGGTAAAATTGGACTACCTTGAACAAAATAGTGGATAGCAACCTATTTTGTAAGACGAACCTTTTTCTTGAAACTGCAAATACTTTTAAAACATCATATAGAGCTATGGTGAAACAAAGAAATATGTTTAGATTTGTTCATCATTACTGGGAAGCATAATCAGGAAAAGCCTAAGGATTATGTTATTATAGACCAGCTTGTTACTTTCCAGATTGTCTGAACCACAACTTCCAAGATACCAGACCAGGACAATTTCAGAAAGCCTGATGTAGGCAATAAAAATACTGTTTTAAAATTATATAGAACACCCCCCATATAAAATAAAATCTTTAAAATGTCGGAAACTGTTGTCCTGTAATATATACCTATTCAGCTAAGGTGCCTCTTCAGCACACACCCTGTTTGTACTTGCACAGCCAGGATTGATGGAATAATGAAGAGATTCAGGCAGTGCAGTTGACACTTCCAGGCATACTGTTGCCAGCTGCTTGAAAATTCTAGGCATCTGGCCAAATTAGAGCCCATGCTTGTTTCTCATAAGTGGAATGTTGTCAAGCAGACTATGTAGAGCAGGGGTCCTCAAACTTTTTAAACAGAGGGCCAGGGCACAGTCCCTCAAATTGTTGGACAGCCAGGTTATAATTTGAAAAAAGCATGAATGAATTCCTATGTGCACTGCACATCTTATTTTTAGTGCAAAGAAACTTACACACACACTTAAAAGCAATACAGTAATTAAAATAAAGAACAATTTTAACAAATATAAACTTATTAGTATTTCAATGGGAAGTGTGGGCCTGCTTTAGGCTGATGAGATAGGATTATTGTTGTGTGCTTTCAAGTTGTTTCAGACTTAGGTTGACCCTAAGTGAGGGCTGGGTAAATGACCTTGGAGGGCCGTATCCGGCCCGTGGGTCTTAGTTTGAGGACCCCTGATGTAGAACCTAATCACATAGTTGTAGCCATTTGTACCCTTGCTGATTTCCCCTCCTGTCCATCCTGTGCTCTCCTTTTCCTCAACTGTATTCTTTGGATTGATATTAGTTAGTAGTTGATTGAACCAGGCTGGAATTTAACCTGCTAGCTTGATGCCTATGCGTGGTGCCATTTTGCCTGTCTTAGAATAACCAGGCTCATCCTCATCTTTGCTGTATTTTAATCCAGTAGAAGATGTTTGTTATGGTATGCTTTTATTCTTATGCATTGTTCATGTCATACCCTTGAACTGGTGATGAAAGCGCTGGAAAATATTCAATTCAAGGTGGAGCAATGAATTATATTGTAAAAATGTAAATGTAATCCCTGCTCTTTAATTCTCTTATCAGGAAAACACTGGTGTGTCTGGAAGCAAACGCTGGGTATCACAGTGGGCTAGTCTGGCTGCTAACCATACAAAACATGAAGAAAGTGAAGTACGAATGGAGACATTAGCTCCTGCTCATCTTGAAAATGGTACTATAAGTAGTTCTTTTCTACTTTGGCTGTAACATCAGGAAATAGTTATGTGATGCTTTGCTTAGTTGCGTGCGGATGGGTGACACTCCTCCCGCTGCCAGGAAAAGAGATGACACAACACAGAGATGGAGTAAAAATAGGCCACAACTTATTTATTGATTACAGGACAAAGGGTTGGCTGCCAGGCATGGGTTCTGGATCAAGATCGATCAGCCTGCTGCTGACCGATACGACAAGGACCTGGCAAGGGGCCCACCAGCACAATACCAGGCAGCGAAACATGGCACCCTTGTGACTGCTGGATGATCCCTCCCCGACCTGTAGGGGAGGGGCAGAAACCAGATCCAGGGCCCATGCCCCATGCTACAAAAAAAGGGGGGGTGCAGGCCTGGTGCCTGCGAGGCCCCACACAGCCTATTAAGGCCGCTGGGAGAAGGGAGTGGCTGGCCCCTGGCCAATCCAACATGGCCGGGTGGGGCCGGCTGCTGATAGGCCGGCTGGCCAGGCGGCGGGAAACTTCCCGCTGTGCAGGGGTCTTCTGGGAGGAAGAAGCCCCCTGCTCCCAGCATGGCCGGTGGGAGGGTGTCTCCTGCCACAACAGTTGGGCAATGTACTTGTTGGCCTTAAGTGACTACTATTTAAATAAAACTTTTATCAGAGACATTTACATGGATGATATTATCTAAATTAAGTTCATTTCATGTAAGACCCTTTAAAATCATTTTGAAAAACTAGTACAGTCATCCCTTCAAATTTGTGGATTTAACCTTGAAAGATTTGCTTATTTGTAGATTATGTTTTGCTGATTCTGAAGCTGACTTATGCAATTTGAAACTTTAATAACACCATCTCAGCTGTGCTCAGTTAAGTTAGGTTTAATCTTCAGTAAAATTGGGAGGAAAATAAAACTAATGGAGCTGTACATTCACTCCATCATGGGGACAGGCAGAGGGGAAAGGATAGGACAGCGAAGAACATGAGGAGAGAAGGCATGCACATTTTTATTTGCACATTAATGTGTTTGCATGGGTGGGTGGACAGGCGGGGGAAAGGGGATAGGGCAACAAGTATATGAGAGAGGGCATGCACATTTTTATTTGTACATTAATGTGTTTGCATGGGTGGGTCAGCAGGCGGGGGGAAGGGAATGGAATAGAGGATCTTGAGGAAGGATGCATTACCTCGCTTGTGGAAGGGAAAAGACTGGTGTGGGTGGTAAATGGGACTTTGTTCAACCAAAGTGAACAAAGAACAGGATGAAGGAGGAAAGGAAATGCAATGGAAAGGATTGCTCCTTTTATGATTGCTGAACTCCATCCTGGAGACCTATGTAATACCTACTCTTCATGGTATTCATTTTGGGTCCATATATGGATGTGAATATGTGCAGGAATGAACGTGTAGCAGAGCCCAGCCACCTCACCAGTACAAATATTTTCTATGTGTTAAATGGGACGGGTGCTTCTAGAATTACTCATGTTTCCCCCCACTTTTACAAGGGTCCTGTGCCCCTGACCTATATGAAAGTGGATTCCTAACTGTAATTGCTAATGTATGCCCTGGTTATTTTCAGTGTAACCTAAATGCACTTGACTTAGCTAGGATCAAATGCAGTGATCATCTTTTCATTAATTTGTATATAGATTTGTTATAGTAGGTTTTTAAAAATTGATATGAAAGTCGTAAGCAACAAAAACAAAATGTGTCATTTGTAACATTTGTAGAGTTTATTGATATGGCTTAGTGTTTTTTTCTCTTCTTATTGTGTATAATTTTTAGACACCGATATAAGTGAATCGGTTCGAAGTACAGGTTCAGCTGCTTCTTTGAACAGCCAAGGGGATCGAATGAAGAGAACACTTCCACAACTGCCAAAAGAAGAAAATGTAATAGAAGGGCAAAGGACAAAAATTTCAACTCCTCAGAGATCAGAGATAGGAGAAAAACAAGACACTGAACTTCAGGAGAAGGAAACTCCAACTCATACTCAAAAAGAAATAGGCCAAGCTGTTGATAAAAGCGTGATGAAAGCAAGCAAAACAATGAATGGCCTTTCTCCTAAAGCAGACAAGACATTTTTTCAGTCTAACAGTTGCTTCCCTTCTGGTCAAAATGGCAAGGAAACATCAGTTGTGAAACAAGCTTTAGCTAAAATTCAGCAACAGGAACAAAATGAAGTAACACATTGGGTTCCCACTAAATTATCTTCTGCAAAAACTACAAATCAGGTTGAAAAGAGGAAGGAGGAACCTTCTGCTTCCCATAAAATAGATAATAAAGAAAAGGCATCTGTGCGTAGTGCTGTCAAAACAGAAAGTAAGACTATACAAAGTGAAGGGAAAAGAAGGAAACCAGAGGAAACAACAAAATGTCAAGCTGCAAAAGGATTTAGTGGAGACAAGAAAGAAACATCTAAGCCATTGGTGAGGCAGGGCAGTTTTACTATAGATAAACCAAGCACAAATATACCCATAGAACTAATCCCTCATATTAATAAAGAAACAGGAACTGCTCCAGCGTCATTATCTTTAACATCTACCACTAGAATAAGTGAGAAAAGTGAGTCAGTTGAAACAGATTCCAGTCTAGACACAACATTAATATTAAAAGATACTGAAGCTGTAATGGCTTTTCTTGAAGCTAAGCTACGTGAAGATAACAAAATAGATGAAGGACCCGAGACTCCCAGCTATAATAGGGATAATTCTATTTCACCTGAATCAGATGTGGATACTGCTAGTACAATTAGTCTAGTCACCGGAGACAGTGAAAGAAAAACCACTCAGAAGCGCAAAAGTTTTACAACTCTTTACAAAGATAGGTGTTCCACTGGTTCTCCATCAAAGGATGTTTTAAAGTCATCATCTACAAGTGCTAGAGAAAAAATTGAAAAGAAAACAAAAAGTCGTTCTTTGGAAGCTGGTTCAAGAGGAGATGCACGCAAGATTGTACAGAGCAGTGGAAGAATAAGGCAACCTTCAGTAGATTTAACAGATGATGACCAAACTTCTAGTGTACCTCATTCTATTTCTGATATTTTGTCTTCTGACCAGGAAACATGCTCTGGCAAATCACATGGAAGGACACCTTTTACCTCAGCAGATGAACACTTGCACTCTAAAACAGAAGGTATTAAAATAGCAAAGTTGAAATCTTCCCCAGTACCAACTGGTCAGTCCAGTAAATCAACTACTCTTCCAAGGCCTCGGCCCACAAGGACTTCTCTGTTACGTAGAGCACGACTTGGGGAAGTTTCAGATAGTGAACTTGCAGATGCAGACAAAGCATCAGTAGCTTCTGAGGTGTCTACTACAAGTTCTACATCAAAGCCTCCATCAGGAAGGAGAAATATTTCAAGAATTGACTTGCTTGCTCAGCCACGTAGAAATAGACTTGGTTCTTTATCTGCACGAAGTGACTCTGAAGCAACAATAACTAGAAGCACTGCCTCATCTCGAACGGCAGATGCTGCTATTAGAAGTGGCATTAGACTAACACCTCCAGCAGATAGTACTAAAGTTTCTCCTAGGATAAGAGCTAACAGCATTTCTCGCCTGTCAGACTCCAAATCCAAATCAATGTCATCAACCCATAATTCTCCATCAGGTATGGCAATTTTTGGCATTATTTCTTAATTCATTATTTTGGTATTTCAGTACCATTTTCATTGATAACAAGAGGTTAAACAAAAAATATTTTAGTAGCATCTGTAATACAGATTGAGCATCCCTTATCCAGAATTCTGAAATCCAAAATATTCCAAAATCCAAAATGGTCCACATGAGTAGCTGAGACATCGATACCTTTGCTTTCTGATTGTTCAATGTACAGAAAGTTTGTTTCATATACAAATCATTTTAAAAGATTGTGTATAAAATTACCTTTAGACTGTGTGTATAAGGCATATATATAACAAATGAATTTTGTATTTAGACTTGGATCCTATCTCCAAGATATTTTATGTGCAACAGTAAGTATTCCAAAATCAAAAATAAAAAAACACTTCTGCTCCTAAACATTTCAGATAAGGGATACTTAAACTGTATAATGTGATAATAATATACTCTTTATTGTCATTAATTGTAATGTGAAATGTACCACTTTATTGCTAAATGCCTTTCTAGAAAGGTGGCTGGGTTTTTCTGCTGAGACACTGCTAACAAAGTGATCAATAAATGTTCACTTTAAAAATTCTTCTGTTGGCATAATTGCTTCTAATTATTAGCACGATCTCTTTAGATTTTTAGGTGTAAAACCCAGCATTTTTCTGTCGTCTGCTATAATTGTGTTAGATTTGTAGTAATCTGTTGCACTGAATGACTACTGTTGGTTAACCTAAGAAATAATAAGCATTTGGAAGAAGATGCTTTATCCCAAAAGTCAATACTTCATATTTATTGATAATGGTTAAATATTAATGCAGAAACACATTTTAAATAACTTAAAACATATTAAAATGCCATTTTGCTCATCATTGTAAGTGATGGAGGAAGGCTTCTGGGTGCAACAGCAAGTAACTCAGCATTCATTTTCTACTTCCCAAAATCCAGGTGTATATTGATGTATAGTATCATTTTAGGGGAAATTATTCTTTACCTGGAGTTAAAGGTAGCTCGTAGACGAGCCTGTTTCTTGTTCTGATTTATCATACCAAAAAGTAGATTGAGCAGATCACATCGTCTGTGTTACGCATGCATTTCATGAAAGTGATTTGCAGATTTGCAACATAGAACAGATTTGCAGAACTGCAAAATTGCCCACACTTCTCTACTCCCATGCACAGTGGCCACACAAGTTTGCAGAGAACAGTTTATGCATATAAAGTCTCAGCATTCCTTATCCAGAAATATGAATTCCAGAATTCTCAAAATTTGTCTACAGGGGTGGCTAAGATAATAAGACCTTTGCTTTCTGATGGTTCAGTGTATACAAAGGAGCCCCCAGTGGCACAATGGGTTAAACCCTTGTGCCGGCAGGACTGAAAACCGATAGGTCAGAGGTTCGAAGCGCACAGATGAGCTCCCTCTGTCAGCTCCAACTCTCCATGTGGGGACATGAGAGAAGCCTCCCACAAGGATGGCAAAACATCAAAACATCCGGCCGTCCCCTGGGAAATGTCCTTACAGATGGCCAATTCTCTCACACCAGAAGTGACTCCTGACACAAAAAAGTGTACACAAACTGTGTTTCATACACAAAATCATTTAAAATATGGTATAAAATCATCTTCAGACTCTCTCTCTCTCTATATATATATATATATACTGGATATATGAAACATAAGCAAATTACATGTTTAGATTTGGGTTCCCTTTTCAAGATATTTCATTATGTACACAAAGATATTCCATTTTTAAAAAAACCCTGTGAAATCAAAGCACTTCATATAAGGACACTCAACTTGTACCTTTTTTACCTTTATAAGTATTGATATCTAACTTAAGAATCGTAGAGTATAGTTAGCAATTCCATGTGACCTTGGACTGGGATCAAGTGCAGGGTATTCTTCTCCAGTCTGTTTCTGAACAGAACATGTGCAATTAATACTACATGATTATAGTGCAATGGTCTAAGCATTGGGGTATGGCTTGGGAAATATGCTTACCTTAGATTGTCCATAAGCCAGAATCAATTTGTGAATGAGATGTGAGTTCTTGGGGCACCACTAAACCTTTTAGATACACAATTCATTTTTTTTGGTATATTTCAGGAAACTAAAGTTGCTTATTCAGTTATTGGGATATTTTACCAAAATATTTAAGGAGAAAAATGGAGAAATGTATTTACAGTATTCTGATAAATGCTTAACATATATTGCTATGAAACAAAAGAGAGACCATACTTTATAAACATGTAAGATGATTCATCATGTCATTTTTCAAGCTCTGCCCTAACAGTGTAGAGCTTTGGAGCATTTTAAATGACTTGGGTCTTAAAATGTTTACATTTTTGACATTTTCTTATTTAGATTGGTTTGTGCCTTCTGTTCAGTGTGTTTTAGTTTTATATTTGGAGTTTCAAAATAAATTCAATTCAAATCACCTTAGTATGTTGGAATAAATATTTAACTTTATTCCACATCTTAATTTTATTGGTGGAATTAAGTTAATTTTTATACTTTTAAGAAATGCTTTGTGTTTATATGTCTTCATTAACATGATAAACAAATATTTTATACACAGAGGCATACCGTCTTCTCCCAGACCCAGATCCTGCTCTTGAAACTTACAGTGGTAGAGTACTAGAAATCATATTTTGTATCTAAAATTTCACTTTGAAATAATTATCATTTATTTCTTACTTTAAATGGTCATGTTGTACAATGATGGGTTCCAGGACTAGTTATACATTGATAAAATTGTTGTATTTTAACAGATTTGTTTTACCATTGTGTCAGTATTTAAACAGTTTGAAGCTGGGATAAAAATGTAGATTTCAAATTAAAGTTCACTTTAAAGAAAGCAATTGGATCCAAATTATATTTCTTCTTCAGGCCTCATTGATTCTGGTTTTGCATCTGGTTTTACTTGTCTTTAGGAAAAGTGCTTTTTCTGTTTATTCTGTGTTAGCTGTCAAAAAACAAAACACCTCAAAATCAGGCTTATCAGAATCTGCATGTGAGCTTCAAGATACTGAAAAATATATTTTTCAGTCTTTGGCTGGATTGTAAAATAGCTGTATTTCAGATTCATGAGCTGCACATTTAGGAATTTATTGTAATACTTCTCACTCAAAAGCATCTCTCTAACATGCAATAATTGTACTTGTTTTCTGTTGTTTAAATTTTCAACAAAATATGAACTAAAACATTTATAAGTGTCCTAAGTATCATTATTGTACATATCCAGTCTCTACTGGAAGAAGATGTACCATTTTGATACCACATTATTATTAAACATTATTTTAAAGTTGTTCAAAGAAGCGCAAGTAGGTGGAATTTTTATTGTACAAATTGTAGTTCGGATGAATCACATTTTTAAAACTAAATATGGATCAAGACTCTGGAACTGGAAATAGAAATCCTTTAGATTTTGACAATTGCTAAGATCCTGATCAAGATTCAGGCCCTTTAGCTTCAATTAGTTTTTTTTTTCCAATGTGAGTGTGAAAGCCCATCTCCCAGATGGAGATTGCAGTTGGAGCAAAAGGCAAAAGTGCCGATCTGGATTGGGCTCTGACCCCTGCAGTCTACTTTTTAAAGCTCTTATTATAAATGTTAATTACTTTAATCAAGTGTGTCAAACACACTTCACCAAGGGCCACATCTCCCCAAAAACTGTAAATAACTACATTGCCATGACTTTGAAAGCCTTGTGGGCCACAATAAGTGATGTGGCGGACTGAATTCTGCCAATGGGCCTTGTGTTTGATACTGGTGGCTTAAATGTTATCTCATATTAGTTTGTTTGTGCATTAAATACTAATCATAATCCCAAGATAATTGACATTCAGAGCTACATTTAACAATAATAACTGGTACTTGTTTTTTTTTTTGTTCTCCCAGACTGTGTAGGAATTGATAGATTTTCAAATAGTCTGGATGTCATCTGTCCCCCAGAAATAAAAGACATTAATGTAGTCCTCTGTTTCTGACTAAAAATAAATATTTTGCATTAGACCATGATTACAATTACAATTTACTCTTATACTGATTAGTGAATATCATCTTAGGTACCTAAACCAGACTTTAAACCTTTCTAATGTAGATTTCAACTCTTTTGACAATGGGAAAATTTGCACAAAAAGTACAGGCTCACTGTATTGATGAAGGACAGTGACTTGGGTTCTGATCTCATGGTTTAGTTAGGAGACTGATAACATTTCTACTTTTTAAACTCATCATTGTACAAAAGGATTCCCTTTTCACATTCTGTAAACTAGCAATTATTATTTTAACACGTTTATAGTATCTTTCTTTTTTAAAACCGTAGTTAGAAAACACTTTTTTGTGCAGTACTTTGGGTTTGGAATTAAGCAACTGTGATGATGTTTCTGAAATAATATCTCTCTTTCTGCCAATAGATACAATAATATTTCTTTTTTAATAATTAAACTAATTTAGTAAATTCAAGATGGAGGCGCTTTCCTACTGATTATGCTTCCACCTCAGAAGATGAATTTGGATCAAACCGTAATTCTCCTAAACATGCCCGTCTACGTACTTCTCCAGCCCTGAAAACTACTCGGCTGCAGAGCTCTGGAACACCAACACAGGCTAGCAATATCTTCAAGCATAGGATAAAGGAACAGGAAGACTACATTCGAGATTGGACTGCACATCGAGAAGAAATCGCAAGGTTGGCTTTAAAGGAATGAATACTAAGATAAAAATAACCAACACCTTATTACCTGTATTTAATTGAATCTAGTGCGTCATTGAATCTAATGCGCACCTCAGTTTTCAAGATCCTGAAACCAAAAAAAGGATTTGCTGGCAAATGTAATGCAAATTTGAAAGAGAATGGAAAGAAGTTACAAGAAGGAAGGGAAGAAAAGAGCCTTGAAAGAAATGGCAGAGAGAGGGAAAGGGAATGGAAAGAAGGTACAAGAAGGAAGGGGAGAAAGGAGCATTGAAAGAAAAACAGAGAGGGAAAGATTGTGGAAAGAAGGTACAAGAAAGAAAAGAGAGAGAAGGAAGGAAAGGAGCTCTGTGGTGGTGGAGCCAAGGCCTGCTCTGCCGAGTGGGAGGCCCCAGCGAGCCAGGGTGAAGGAGGACGCCTCCTCCGCTTCGGGGCCTGTGACTGGCAAGGGAGCCGACCTTGGTGAGGCAGCAGCCCCAGCAAGCCAAGGAGGAAGGTGTGAAGGCAGCTGCAGGCCTTAATTGGCTGCTCACCATGGGTACCAGGTTGCCTTGGCGGACCGTTCGTCACAGCTGCCAAGGAAGCCACTGCTTTGCTGCTTTCACCTCTTCCTCCTTGGCTCCTGGGTCTGCTCATTGCTATGCTGGTTTGCCACTTTGCCACTTGCTTTGCTGGTTCGCCACAGGAACAAAGGTCACTCCTCCTCCTCCCCCCCCCCCACAGCTGCCTTGGCCTCTTCCTCCTTGTCTCCTGGGGCCGGTGCCAAGCAGCTGGCACAAGAGGCGGCCCTGGCTAGGTGGCAGCCCCAGCAAGCCAAGGAGGCCATGGGTTGCAGCAAGCAGGGAGGCCCATTATCGTATTGCATGAATCTAATGCACACCCCAATTTTGGCAGGGACATTTAGCACAGAAAAGGGTGCATTAGAATCACATGAATATAGTAATAATCCAGTGACAAGTCACAAAATCGTATGAAGAGTAGGGTTCTAGCTTGTGTATTTTCTTCTGGATAACAGACTTCATTAATAGGTCTGATACAGAAGCATTATTTTTCTCATTAGGCAGGAAATATAGGACAATACTTTTCCTAATACAATCTGACTCTGTTCATATATGGTAGGAAAAAAGGATGCCACATTATACTGAGTCAGACCATTGGTCCAGGGGTGTCAAAGTCATTTTCATCGAGGGCCACAATCAGCCTTTTAGTTGCCTTCAAAGTGACATTAAAAAACTGACTAAATGTAATTGTGTTGCCCTGGCATTGGAAGATTCACGGCCCATACAAAATGACATAGAAGGCTGCATTTGGCCCACAGGCCTTGCATTTGACATGCGCATTGATCATCTCGACTATTGTTGACAGTGACCAATGAGAGAGTATTCCAGGGTTTCAGAGAGGAACTTTTCCTGCCCTACCTGGAGAATCGGAACCTGGAACCATAGTGGGAAGAGGCCACCACAGGCTGCTGCACTTGTCCCACACCTCTACAGCCATTATAAACATACATTTAGAAAGTAATTTCAGCATCTTGTGTTCTCAGCACATATAAAATTGCCATCAATCTAGATTATTAATATTTTTAAACCAAGTAAATGTGACACTATAGGTAATTAAGTTTAGTTTAGGCAGCCTGCTAAATGTTCTGTTTAAAGAGTTTACATTCCAGATCAGGCATATGAAACAAAAATGAAGGGGAACATCAAAATAAGAATGGGAGTAAATTGATAATTAATTAGCAGCAGAAAAGTTGGCATTACTGTAAAGTTTTTTCTATTGAGGGTGTCAATATTGAAGCATAAAGGTTTGAATTTCTCATAATTATATTTTATGATTAGGTGCAACATGCATCAAAATAGAACTTGATAGTTTCAGTTAATTTTAATATCCATCGTGACTATTTCACAGAATAGTGCAGACAAAAGACACATTTCTTTTCCTTGTACATGCAGTAAAATCGCAAGGGCAGAATGTACACAAAGGCTGTATCCCAATTGCCTTCTATAGAATCCTTGCCCTGGTTTGATCATTTTGCTGCCACACACACCTGTTTTAATCTAAATTGAAATCAGTTTGAAAAACCACTTGGAACCCCCCTTATGTAACCACATTGGTGTAAGGAACTGTTTGTACTGTGTGCATATAATTACCATATATGTTTATGTCAGGTCGCAAGACTTCAGCATAGCAGGGGAATTTGTGCAACACATGTGAATTTTCAAATATTCACTTAATCAAATAAGCTTTGTTTTCCTTTGTTCTGATGTCCACTCTTGTTTCCGTAAAGTGGAACCAGTAGAGAAGGAGAAGAATATGTGCATATCTGAAAACGTGCAACAACACATTTTTGAATGCCAGTACAAACACGGGAGCTACATTTCTATGGTGGGAATAATAAGATGACCTCAGTAACCACCCACTATTCTGGCTCCACCCCTGATTCCATCTAATCCTATTCAAGGATCAAACTCTATATGGGGGAGGGATAGGACCTGTGCTTCTCCAAAACAATGGAACAAACTGGAAGTTGTTTTTAAAAATGGTTTTTCAGGGATCAAAAACAAATATTTTCATTAGGTTCTTGTGGGTTTTTTCGGGCTATAGAGCCATGTTCTAGAGGCATTTCTCCTGACGTTTCGCCTGCATCTATGGCAAGCATCCTCAGAGGTGTGAGGTCTGTTGGAAGTAGGAAAAATGGGTTTATATATCTGTGGAATGGCTGGGGTGGGGCAAGGAGCTCTTCCCTGCTGCAGTTAGGTGTGAATGTTTAGCTGATCACCTTCATTAGCATTTGAAGGCCTGCTTGAGCCTGGGAAAATCTGTTGCTGGGAGGTGTTAATCTGTGCCTGGTTTTTTCCTCTCTGTTGTTTAGCTGTTATAATTTTAGAGTTTTTTAATACTGGTAGCCAGATTTTGTTCATTTTCATGGTTTCCTTCCTTTCTGTTGAAATTGTCCACATGCTTGTGGATTTCAATGGCTTCTCTGTGTAGTCCTGACATGGTGGTTGTGAGAGTGCTCCAACATTTCTGTGTTCTCAAATAATATGCTGTGTCCAGGTTGGTTCATCAGGTGCTCTGCTATGGCTGACTTCTCTGGTTGAAGTAGTCTGCAGTGCCTTTCATGTTCCTTGATTCGTGTTTGTGCGCTGCGTTTGGTGGTCCCTATGTAGACTTGTCCACAGCTGCATGGTATACGGTAGACTCCTGCTATGAAGTCAGCCATAGCAGAGCACCTGATGAACCAGCTCTTCCTGTTGATAGAACAGATCGCACCATTCTATTTGGAAACCCCGCCCCCTCCCCAAAATCAGCATGAAAAAGCAGCTGGAAGGGCCTTTGTGGAGAGAAGAGGAAAGTTATGTTGTATAACTTCCCTTTGCATGTGTAATATTTTATAGACAAAATAAAAAAGCTGTCTAATTATTCAGTGATTACATTGTTATTAAGGATTTAGGGCTAGAAAACACTGTAATAATTTATGATTACAGTGAATACCATGGATTTACAGGAGATTAATTGACACTATTATAGCAGAAGAACTAGAAAGCATTGTTTGTTGCTACTGTTGTGCTCTACAAGAAGACATTTTACTGTAATGTCGAATGTCGTGTGAGAAGAAATTCTGAAAACTTCAACATGTTCCAAATTCTACAGAAACCCCCCTTGAGCTTTGAAGTTGATTGAGATGAATTTCATTTAGGCTATAATGCTGCATTAATCATTAACAGGATAAGCCAAGACCTCGCTCTCATCGCACGGGAAATCAATGATGTAGCAGGCGAGATAGATTCGGTGACTTCCTCAGGCACTGCTCCTAGTACCACAGTAAGCACTGCTGCCACCACCCCTGGCTCTGCCATAGACACTAGAGAAGAGGTAGGAGATCTTCATGGAGAAATGCATAAGGTTCTTCTTTTTCTTTATTTCTTTTCCTTTGTCTTTTTGGCATTGTTTCAAATTAATTCCACTCTTATATGCATGACTATCAGCATTCTGTCCTTCCTGATTTTAAGATTAAAGTACTTATTGTCAAACATTCCAGCAGTCATTGAGGACATTTCTTAATACAAACAATGCAAGAATAGTCACACTGTGGACACATTGTCATTTTAAAAATGATCATAAGATCTTTTGCTTTTAAAAAAACAAACAAACTATAGCTTCAGATGCAAGTGAGTTGTATCTAAGAAGTGCATTTCAGTGAAGGGGAAATCATTACACACATGTTTATACACAGATAGTATAAAATATTGTATGTGAGATAAAATTCATTGCACTTTAGGGGGCTTAGATGGCCCTGGGCTTTACTAATTTTTCTTTTTAAATAATTTATGCTCATTTGTTCTAAACTGGTTTCCCCTTTCTAATATAGTAAACAATAAATCTGAAGTAATATAGTTTTATACTGTAGTTTGCTTTGCCTTTTCTGATATTGTGTGTTTCTATATGCAAACTTGCATGCTCAAGTCGCTATTGCAAATTCCAGTAAGTGCACTTAAATATCCATAAAGTTCCTTATATTGCTGTTTGTCTTTTTAACTATTTGTTTTGTTTTCAGGGTTGGCAATTTCCTTGGAGAACTAATCTTAAGAGCAGGTCAATAGTGAAGAACACTTTTCCATTAGAGATTTGAAATAACATACTAGTAAAAATATATTGGAATGTATAATTGTCTCTAGACTTTCTGGACAGCATGAACTTTCCAGCTTGGCTGCATTAAATGAAACAACTTTCTATATTTTGATGTTGTTTCACTTCTATACGTGAAATTCTCCATAAAGAAATGTTACACTTTTTAACAGGTTAAACAAGAGTTGAACAGGAAATTAACAGAATCATTTGGCTTTGTAATTTATATGATTTTAGAACAGTCCTTTAAAAAGACAGAAATCCACACATGCTAATATATCTGCTAAAAAGTGGTAGCAAGTAATAATGCAGCAAGGAATTTCCTGCATAACTGCAGCAATGAATTTTAAAATACTAAAACCCAGAAAATATTGCTTGTGAGATTAGACATTCTCCAGAATAGCGTTGGGGCTAGGATGGGTGGGGTTCCCATGATTTTCAAAGGAATCAGGGAAAAAATCCTCTTTTTCCTAACCAACTATTGCTTTTTGAGTGCAATTCTGCTTTACTATCATTTTGGCTAGCAGTGAAGAGTGTGAATTGCAAATTTAACTCAATGTCAAGAAGGAATGGAAAACTTGGGGAAGTGCAACACCTAATCAAGATATTAGCACAGCTTCACCACTGAATGTACCTTGAATGTGGAAGTGCTGGCTTATAGAGCTCCAGCCTATATAATACAGTTCATATAAATGGATCATTTGGGTCAATAAGGCGGTTATGTCAGCTTGAGCCTATTCTTAAAACACAGGAAGTTCAGACTTATCTGTTGGGTTAGAAAGTGGTTAGTCACTATCAGAATTGGTTGACAAATGGAACTCAAGATTTTTTTTAGCAAGACTAAACACTCAATGAAACTGTGTCAAGTAAGACAGAAAAAAATGTGTCCCGTCCCCCCCAAAAGCAACACTAAATGCTCAAAAGAGCAAATCTGGGGTCAAAAATGGAGAACATGGCTATAATTTAGTTCTCTCAAAACTGGAACATCAAAAAAAGAAGTAATCAGAATAATGGATTCCTGAATTATTCCTTACATTTGCAGCATCTACAAGTGATAAAGGATGAGCATGGAGTAGTTACACTGCTCCATCCCCTTTCTTGTTGTACTTCCTGTGTAGAGGATTAGTTTGGTGACAGAGAACCTCCTGTATCCATGAAGGCTGTCTTTACATTTTAAAATCCGGAACAACAAACACAATCCTTATTTCTGTTTGGCTTTTGAATCTTTTGCAAACAGAACAGGAGCAAAGAAAAATTGAGAAATACAATTTGCTTTGCATTTCTCCCCATTATTAGGCCCTAGAGTGTTCAAACAAATATTGGGCTGTTATGAAATAGTAAATCCTGATATCCATAATGTAACCTTTTCCATGTCTTATGTTAGTATTTCTTTTGAGTTTATGTTAATACTAAAAGCATTAGTTCATTTTCCTTAGGAAAGGGATAAGTGGCAGAAGTTCTAAAATTCACAAATTTGTATAGTACAGGCACTTTTTCTATGCTAGATATTATGCCAACCCTGAATATTTTCTCTTCATCCATTGTGTTGTTCCCTGTTGGTGTTTTAACCTCTTGTAGATGTTATTTGGTTAACCACGTTATGTTTGTTTGCATCTTTGTGAGTAACAGGGTGTAATCATTTTTTAAAAAGACATGTATCGTAGTATTTGTAATGTTATTTTTTTTACTGTGTTCATGTTGGTCTCTTTTTATTTCCCAGCTATACTTCTAAGCCACTGCTAATGTATATATGCATTTTCTCTGAGTTAGGTAATGTTGACTTATATCTTAGTTTACTAAATAATGTGAGTCCCATTCCTCTCCTATTCATCAGTGACATACACTATAGAACACATAATTAGTATTGAATGTGCTATTCTTCCTTTTTCAACCAAATATTTATTTTCTCAAGCTGAAATAGCAACCTTTTGGTGACACTTAACAAAATAGTTTATCTTATAATATATATTAAAATGATATACTCCATATATTTTATTTCTTTCATGCTTTCACCAAGAGAATCTTTCAATTGATGGGTTACATAATGGGTTTCTCTACTTGCTTTTATAACCTAAAGCCTTGTCACTAATTATATTATTTGTATCAATTTTATTCCAGCTAGTTGATCGTGTATTTGATGAAAGCTTAAACTTCAGGAAGATTCCTCCAGTAGTAAACGTTAAAGTACCAGATGGGAACTCCAGGCCTAATGAATCCAAACCACCGACTGCAGATATACCTGAGCCACCAACAATTACACGTCGTCGAACCTGGAGTAGGGATGAAGTAAATATCCATCACATATATATAAAGAGCTGAATGAAAGTCCTAGAGAATCAATAGATTAGGAGAGGCACAGTGTATGAATTCATCCTAGAGCCTAGAACAATAGTTCTCAACCTGTGAGTCCCCAGAAGTTTTGGCTTTCAACGCCCAGAAATCCTAACAGCTGGTAAACTGGCTGGGATTTCTGGGAGTTGTAGGCCAAAACACCGGTGGACCCACAGGTTGAGAACCACTGGCCTAGAATATCCCAATCCTTTTTTAATTCCTTGGCAATTTCAGTTGAGTTGGAGTCACTTTTTGGGGGGAAATTTGAGGTATCTTATGGTCATTTATATTCTGGTTCATTAAAGAAGAGTGAAGGGGAGGGGAAGGACACAAAACTATTAGTTACAAATAACTATATGCATTCCTATTATTTATTTATCATTATTTATTAATTATAGTTACAGTCAATACATTTCCCTGTGAGTTAACTATATCCACACAACTTTTTGAAGTAAATCAGACTCAATGTAACCAACTACATTTCATGGAAGAATAGGACGATCCATATCTCAATCCAGCACTCCATATAATAGCACTCCACTAGTTCTTACAATCACATGACAAAAGTCAGATATTCTGACACGATATTAGGCATTCATTAGAGGAAAGAGGGAAATATTCTTCAAGAGAAAAGAAAAAAAATCATACTGTGAAGAGAAATAACATGAAATAGGTTTTTGTTCTGAGTGGATTTGATCTATTACTACATTATTTTTATATATATATTATTTTTAAACAATGTTTGATTTTTATTTTTTTGCTCTAACAAGCATAGTGATGGAAAAAGAGTGTAAAAATTAAGTGCTAACATCAAATTCTTAATTGAAGAATAGGCAAAGTGAGTGGCTTGTTTCTATGGAAGAGTGGAGAGTTCTGTTTATAGAATTGAGCTTTGCTACTGATGTCTTCCACTGCAGTGCCCTTAACCCTTAAAAGTTACTCTAGAAGATTTGTAGTCTCTCCAGAAATTGTGTAGAAAGTGGAAGAAAACAGAGATCCCTTATAATCCCCATGGGTGATAAAAGGGATGAAATTGTTTCAATTTTTTTGCCAACAATAACTTGCATATGGGTTATATCTAAAGATATATACCACATTTTTATAAGAAGTTATATAGATCATATATTTTTTTCTTCTACTACTCATAAAGCAGGCACTTAATCAGTTATAGTGCTTTTTGTTGGCATTAAGTTTATGTAAGAATTCTTTTTAAAAATCTCCTGGGTTTTAGAGAGAGCTATAGGATGCTACTATTAATAACATAAAACTGCTATCAGAAAAGAAAAACAAATCCCACCACCATTCAAGCTGGCTATAATCAAACAACTGGTAGATGCATCACCATTTTATATATATAATATTTATTTTTTCTTCGTGGTCTCTGCGAATGCACACTTGTGGAGAGACTGCGCCTGCGCGGGCTCCAACGGAAACTTCTTCATTTTGAAACTTTTGAAGTTTTGGCGGTAACCCCGCCCAGCCCCGGCAGGGGATAAAAGGGCGCCCCGCGCGCGCCGCTCCAATTCCTTTTTTTCCGCCGCACGGCTCACTTCGGTACTTCTGGATAGTGTTGGATAGTGTTCTTGGATAGTGTTGGATAGTGTTCGATAATTCTCTTCGGAGTTCTTCCTTGAGTTGTTGACTGTATTATGTCAACAACTCGCTTCAAAAGATGCGCGAGATGTCCGAAGAAGATCCCTGATTCGGACAAGCACGCTCTTTGCCTTCTGTGCCTCGGGGAGGCGCATATTACCTCCTCGTGTCGTCATTGTCAGGCACTGACGGCGCAGTCCCGTAAGAACCGGGCGCATCGACTTCGGTACCTGCTGTACCAACAGGCGTTGGCCCCGGTATCTGCATCATCGGCATCGGCGTCGACGTCGGCCACGGTGTCTAGACCTTCTACAACAACCTCGACGTCGAGAGCTCCGACAACAACATCTGTCGGTCCCTCGGCAGAGCCCGAACCCCGACAGCCGAGAAAGGCTGCGCAGAAGAGACCGAGGGCAGCCATGTCGACAACTTCGAAGGCCTCAGTGTCGACGGCCTCCAAGACTTCAAGGCCTACGAAGCAGGCGCCTCCGTGCTCGGTCACTACCGAGACCGTGCGCGTTCGACACTCGTCGACCAGCTCGGTGGCATCAGTGAGATCGGTCAGGTCCACGAGGTCAACTTCTGCGACTCCGCCATC